CGCTTCGTACCTCAAAACCAACTGCCTGCAATATTCTGTTTGTAGAGATCCAGATCTTCTTACATCTCAGGCTGGTTTCGTGGGTGCTCAGAGTGGTCTGGTGGATATTCAGCTCAATTCTGGGGACCAGTTGAAATAGGGTCCCCTACTCCTCCGCCATCTTTCCCCCCTTATGAGTCTTTAAATTGGGCTGGAGTAAGATACACAGGATTCTCTTTTTAGCTGTGCATAATATCCAGATGGAAATCTGAATTTTGTTGAGCAAGTACTCTTGGCCAGGGCCATTTTAATCTGTGTCCATCAACACTGAATGTCACACCTGGTTACCCTGGTGAGCAGAAATTTTCTCCTTCCCCAGACACAGAGTCTGTATATGGAACAATTTCCTCTGCCCAGACTTCCAGTGAAAGAGGCTGGTTTGCTTACACTCGAAAATATGCATTTTCTACCATGAGAGAATAATTTACCACAATAAAAAATAGACTGTGGGAGTTTGTTTTATAATAAATGGCTAAAGCCATTTGCTTAGATGACTTTTGTTTCTATAGATAATACTAATAGCTGATATTTCTGGAGCCTTTACTAGGTTATCAGTTACCATTTCAAAGGTAAACAAAGAGGAATGGTTAAAAGTATGAACTCAGTCAACCCCGATTAACTATGTGATCTCAGTCAGCTTACTTAACCTTACAGTGCCTTTCCTTATCTGTCAAAGGGCAATAATCATCCCCACCTCATAGGATTAAATGAGTGAATACATACAAGGTGATTACCACAGGACCAGGCATGCAGTAAATATTCTAGTGATATAGGGGTCGGCTACTGCTGGGGTAAGGACTTAACACAAGTTGTCATTTCTTTCTCATGACATTCCAGGAGGTGAGTTCTATTCTCATTCTCCTTTTACTGATGAGGAAGTGGTGGGCCTGGACCAGACGCCTTGAGAGTGAAGGACTGTGATTTGAACGTGGGTTGCCCAGCTGTGGAACTTTTACTCTTATTCCCTGCATTCCACTGTCATTATTTGTTTCACACACGAGCTGAGCCTGTGAGGTAATGAGTCTTCTCTTTGATTCCCATAGGCCCTGGAATGAAGAGATGCTGGATGCGGCTTGCAGGCTGGTTCTGGACGAAGTTACCCTTCCAGGCTCAGCTCCGGGCGGGAGGGTGGAGTTCAAGAGGACTCTCATCATCAGCTTCCTCTTCAAGTTCTACCTGGAAGTGTCACAGATTCTGAAGAGGATGGTAAATGGAACTGACCACGTTCATGAGTTGAACATACTTTCCTCTCAGTAGAGCATCTCTCCCACTTGTTGGGTCACCTTCACTCATTTGACTCACTTTGGATTCAGCTTCATTTCTCTCACCTATAAGATGATGATGGCAGCCACTCCATAGGTTATTGTGAAATGTGTTGTCGCAGGAAAAGGGCTCAGTAGGTCCCTAGTGCTTCAGAGGAACATGGGAAGACTGCTTTGTAGTTGTCTTGGAGATAGTAGTGATCACCCAGGCATTCTTTTACTAGTTTGTAAGTCCTCAAATCATTTAGGAAAGCATATGAGAGGATCATAAGAAACATAAAGATGTTGCAAGTCAGTGATCTATATTCAGTTGGTGCTTCATAATGTGTAGTGCTGGGTATGGGCCTTCCAGAGCATGTGTCCTGTTGGTCAGGGAGCTGTTGCTACCCCCAGGGTTCTGCGCGGGCCAAGTACTTGATAAATGTTAGACTTCCAAGTAGAGCTCCTTGTTAAGAACCATGGTAGCCTCCCTACCAAGACCATTCAGGCCTATTTGAAATATCTACAACGGTTCTACCTTTCAGGACCCTGTTCACCATCCTAGCCTTGCAGACAATTATGAGAGTGCTTTAGAAGATCTTCATTCCAGACATCACTGCAGTACATTCAGGTACCAGGTGAGTGGCATTTTTTTTTTAAATTCAAAGGGCCTGGCCTATAACTCCTTCACCTGGACACTCCACTTACCTCACAGTGATTCTCAAGCTTTCTAAGCTCTAGCTCCCCTTCTGGTGAACTCAGCCTTCCTTAGTGTTAATTACAATTTCAAACTCAACGAAAAATTATAACAAAAAATAAAACTAGCAATGGCAGTTTTTATAAAAATGTCTGCTTTGATCTTGAAGTTTGTGTGTTTTGCTCTGTGGCCTTGTACCACTGACAGGCATGAGCTGGCTAGCTTGCCATGCACTTTCTGCCCTTGGCGTTGTGGAAGCCGGAGCGCAACCAAAGTCACATTCTGTGTCAAGGCTGGGGGGCTGCTTTGATTTCATTTATAGAGGAGCAGGAAACACAGCCCTCAGAGGTTGGTGAAAATGCAGTAATAGTTTTTTAAAAGAGCTACTGATTTACTTTTTTTTTAAATAAACAATTCTATATGCAACGGATACATTGTTGAACACTACATCTGAGACTAATGATGTACTATATGTTGACTAATTGAATTTAAATTAAAAAACAAGCTTGCTTCCCCAGTCTCTATTCTCCAGGTATCTTTTCTGTGAGTTACATTTAGAGTTTGAATCAAACTAAGTTCTAAGAGCTATTCAAGCTCTCCTAATGAAAGCTATTAGAACAGAATTCCTCATGACTTTCAAATGGAGTTTTCCACCACAACATCATAAAAATACCTCCTGAAGTCATCCTGTTGGTAAACTGGATAAGATTTAATGTGTTTTTCCTTGAAATTATTATCAAGAAACTTTACCTTGAGAGTTTTATTCAGTCAAGAACATGAGGAGGCTTTAGAAAGCATCAGTTCATTGAATCTATTGCTGGATTTAGTTGTAAAAGCTGATGGTATGTCATGATGAATGTTGCAGTTGGTATATATCTCTTGAGGTTTTAGGTTCAGGATGTTCAAAAATTTAAGGACACCAAACTCCATTGAAAGTGATGATATTGGGGCGCCTGGGTGGCTCAGTCGTTAAGTGTCTGCCTTCAGCTCAGGTCATGATCCCAGGGTTCTGGGATCGAGCCCCGCATCAGGCTCCCTGCTAGCCAGGAAGCCTGCTTCTCCCTCTCCCACTCCCCCTGCTTGTGTTCCCTCTCTCGCTGTCTCTCTGTCAAATAAATAAAATCTTAAAAAAAAAAAAAAAAAAGTGATGATATTGAAAGTTTTAAAAAGCTGCGATCTTTCCTGGTGTTCTGCAAAATATGGAAGCTGCAACCTTCAGCTTATGAATACCCTAACCTTACCTTCACAATGGAATAAACCTCCGAAAGGAACAACAACAACAAATTAATGGGCATTCAAATCATCCAAAGAAAAGTGACAATCTTCACACAGTAGATAGTCAAAAAAAGGAGCTTGTTATAGAGTGCAAGGCCGAATTTTGGAAGCAGTTTATCTCCCACAGAGATGAGTTTTCTTTTTGTTTTCCTGTGGTTTTTTTTACACACACAAATATCTGCGTTGCTAGAGCATCTTCAGCACTCATGACAAACATTTCCCCCCAAATCAGTTCATTTGCTTTGAAAGCATTTTGACACCGTTTCAGGAGATCACCAGTTTGAAGAGACAAATTCATTCCTCTGTGGTCCCTTCAGCCACATAACAAGCAGAAGTAAGGAGTCAGGTTCAGCCTCTTTCACCGGTAGATTCACCCCAACTAACTACCAAAAAAAAAAAAAAAAAAGTATATCTTCAGCTAAAATAATCAGCTGCATTTTTTATTATAGACTAGAAATAAGATATATTTTGGGGTTTTTCTTCAGTCTTTTCTCAGGCCTCACCCAGCAGGATTTCAAAAGGCTTTTTTTTTTTCAACGCTATGATGTGTTTCATTATTGACGATAAAAAGTATTATGTTGTGAAAAACTCCCAGAGCCTTCACAGGTACTTACGGATGTGTTTCCTTAATATTTAAGCTTATGAATTACCTGGAATTTTACTCTTCAGGATGGAAAAAATCCCTTAGGATTAAAAAAAAAAAAAAAGATGTGGGTGATTTTTTACTCAAATGTTCAAGTTGCGAGCCTGCCACAGAATCCTAGCATGACACGTTGCAGGTATTTACAGAGGGAGTTGATCCTCACCATCTGGAACACAAAAAACCCTACTTGATGGAGCCCTCGTAACATTTTTTTTTCTCTTGATCACCATCTCAGCTTCTCAGAGGAGAGAGACCAAAGGCCTGCGGAGAGTATTTGGTCCTGAGGACAGAGTGATGAGCTGTGTCACTGGGGCTGGTGTGTGTGGGAGCTGCTTCAGCTCCCCTTCCATGCCTGAACCCCCATATGTAAAATTTTCTCTCAGTTTCCCTCTTTGCCTACATTCATGGCCTAATGTCTATTTAACCGTGCCTGGGTCAAGTCCTAAATTATTTTTCTTCATAATCTTCTGCTTTCTAGTTGTGCATTATGCTCTAGTAACTACAAAATGGAAGTTTACATTTAAATGAAACAAATATGGACACTAAAAAAATGCCTATGGGTAAGTGTATATCTTACTGTAAAACAGTAAATTTTGTGTGAGAAAGGAGTAAGTTCATAGCATCCACACATGTGTCATGTACCAAGTTAATTTTAGAAATCACTTTACTTTCTGCATATAGCTGTCAGTCAACATTTGGCTGATATTTTACTGTCATTTATATTATGAAGACAGTAGGTTTTTATTTTTTCCCAATAAGCAGTAAAAATGCTGAACATGTTTTCAAATTACACGTGCCACTCTCCCTTGCCCTCTTGATGCTCTAGGCCTGCCCCCTTCCTAGACAACCTCTGGTCTATCTCAAGCCAAAGATTTATTTTTTGAGTCCTTCAAGTAGGTTGGCAGTGAACCAGGACCACTCTTCTTGAGTCCCACGAGCAGCAGAGGGCATCGAAGAAGTATTTCAGTTATCTTTATCCTAGAATTTCCACTACCCACACTCTCATCACCAGCCCCCTTAGCAGCCATAGCCTTCATGCTGGGCTCTGAGCTTGGTCTCTGTCCTGTCCGTTAACCCCTCTTTCTTCATACATCCAGGTCTTCTCCCGATAACCAACCAACTAGGAAAGCTAACAACTCTCTCATATTTGAAATACTGGGGAAGACGTCATGCTTCTTGATGTCCACTTTGGTTAATGAAACATATTTAAGGTATTTAGAGAACCAGTAGCAAGACATTTTATTCCATGGGTCTCTAAGAAAGAGTAACATTAGTAAATATAGGTCCCTTTGTCTTCATTCTTTATCAGGATTGTCTAAGTTACGAGTTTTACCAATTATTTCTTAACTTCCTCACTTGGAACAGAGCATGACAGCATGCCCTCAATATTTTATAAAACAAAGTCATGATACCATCATGCTCTTCTGAAAAACGTTATATATGCCATTGCTTAGATACAACGGTAAAATAATTTTGATAATAAAATTGAAAGAAATAATGGGAGCATTAACAAGAGGATATAATTTTACATTTTTAGGAAGAAATATTTATATTCATTTACTTACATAAATGGAATTTGCATTAGACATATTTCTGTTCTATATTTAGAAAAAGGAGGAAAAAAATAAGAACAATATCATGACTATACAGCCCAGTTTGCCTCCTGTATTACTGAAATAGGCTTATTGTCCTGGTGTTATTATTAACAGTGACTGTTTTCAGTTTCAGTTTCAAAAGTGTTCTGGTTTGGATGTAAATTGCATAGCTACCCTCTTATGGGAGATGTGCATAATATTATAAAATGATTATAAAAATGATTTGTTGGTTACTGATTAAACAGAGTGCAGACTCAAAGCAGCTTCCTCAAGACCCAGTTGGCCATCCTATCATGCATTTGTCTGGTATTAAACATGCCACAGGTGAGGCCATCTACTGTGATGACATGCCTACGGTGGACCGGGAACTTTTCTTGTCTTTTGTAACAAGTTCAAGAGCTCGTGCTAAGATTGTGTAAGTGATGAAGTTCCTAATTAGACATTAATTATTGCCTTTTCGTCCAACTCACATAAGTGATAAGTAATGGTACAAAGAGGATAGGCTATTTGTTGGCAATATCCAATGCAGATTGGGAGGGAAATTAGATCGAAATGTAGGATTGACTACAATTTGTCCCTCCAGATACAGTTGGCCCTTGAACAACACGGGTTTAAACTGCACAGGTCCGCTTGTGTGTGGGTTTTTTTTAATGCTAGTACTGTGAAAACAGTTTCTTTTCTCCAGATTACTTTATTGTAAAAAAATACAGTATATAAGACATATAACATGTAAAATATGTGTTCATTCACTGTTGATGTTATTAATAAGGCTTCTGGTCAACAGTAGGCTATTAGTAGTTAAGTTTTGGAGGAATAAAGGTTATATGCAGATTTTCAACTGTGTAGGGGATCAGTATCCCTAACCCCTGCATTGCTCAAAGTCAGCTTCATTCAAGTTCAAGTAATAGCTTTATTGTTCCGGGAATTTGTTACCATAGTCTGGCAAGAACTATTAGAGCTGGGTGTATCTTACCACTCGAATATCTTATTCTCCAATTAAGCATGTTCTCCATGGTCTTCAGGCTGGGGGCTTCTCTGAGGACCTGCTCTGTGTGTTCTCATCTAGGTCTATTGATCTGTCAGAAGCTCTCAGCCTGCCTGGCGTGGTGGACATTGTGACTGAGGAACATCTTCGTGGCGTAAACTCCTTCTGCATTTTAACCAAACCGGAGGAACTTCTGAGGACAGAGGAGGTACGGCGTTTTTGCTTTCTGTTTCAAAAATAATTTCCTCAGTTAATGGCATTGCCTGTTTTCTTAAAGATGGCATCAAATTTGGCACATCGTAAAGGATTCCAATAATTCTTTGAAACACCATATTCTAATGGTGAATGAACTCAAATATATTCATTTTCCACATAAGAAAAGAAGTTGACTAGCTCTATAAAAGATGCTTGGTGTTTTCCTATTTTCTAGTAGTAATCTTACTACTGGAGAGGAAGGGGCAGAGGGAGAGAGAAAAGAGAGGAATCTTAAGCAGACTCCACACCCAGCATGGAGCTCATTATGGGGCTCAATCTCATGACCCTGAGATCAGGACCTGAGCCGAAACCAAGAGTTGGAAGCTCAACCGACTGAGCCACCCAGGCGCCCCTTTTCTTATCCTTTAACATGAGAATTCCGTCTCCCTCTCTGAACTCGGTCTGACTCATTCATGTATACTGCCATGTATTCAAGAGGCGTTTTTAAGTGAGCATCTGATGTGGCTGGCCACCATAGCTGAATAAGACCCAGGTGGTCCTTACCCTCACAGAGCTTAGAGTCCAGAGAAGGTGAAGTGGACCTTTACTGCACTTCTACTTTGTATTGAGCTTACTTATTTATTCCTTTGTCTTATGTATCTCCCCTACCTAATAAAAGTCCTTGAGTGAGACCCTATGTCTGATTCATTTGCATAGTCCTCACACTGCTTCTCATGTAGCAAGCAGGGTAGAGGAACAACGATAGCACTGTGGCCATTTAAAAGTTTCAGATGATTCAAAATGATCTGGCTATTGTGATTTAAGTTTTCAGAAAATGCAACAAGGGCAGTGTTCAGCAGGTTTTCTGCCTAACTCAGGCTTCTCAGTTCAGTGTTGACCCCAAAGAGCTTCCTCCTGTAACAGAGTCCCTACTTCTGGCTCTTGCTGGCTGATTTAGTTGATAAAAATGAAAGCTTGATGACTGAGTGTAAATTGGAGGTTGAAACTCTCCCAAGGCAGGGCTGTGTGGGGCTTGCGGAAGACAGTGAGAATTATGGCCTTTGCCAAATGTTAATTAAACAAGCAAAACCTTTCTGAGCTGCACGATAGTACTTCCACTGGGAGGTGTGCAGATGTTGATGATGAACATCTCAGGGGCACATCTGTGTGCCAGGTCACGGGGGCAAACCCAGGCATCTGTGCAGAGTGGAGCGTGGAACCATCGTGAATGCCTTTGTTAGTTTAATTCCTTTTTAAAGTTAGGCCTTTAAAAAATCTTTTCACTGTAGGGTGGCTCAGTCATTAAGCATCTGCCTTCGGCTCTGGTCATGATCCCAGGGTCCTGGGATCGAGCCCCGCATCGGGCTCCCTGCTCGGCAGGAAGCCTGCTTCTCCCTCTCCCACTCCCCCTGCTTGTGTTCCCTCTCTCGCTGTCTCTCTCTCTGTCAAATAAATAAATAAAGTCTTTTTAAAAAAATCTTTTCACTGTAGAACTTTTAAACATATATAAAAATAGAGAATAGTACAATGAATCTCCATAGACCCATCAGCCAGCTTCAACAATTGTCAACATTTCACCTTTCCTCTTCACTTATCTCCCCACTGTCCCCACCCCTCCACACCCAGCAAACATACTTTTGTGTGTGGATGTGGGTGTGCGTGCACGCACGTATGCTAGATTTAACTTTTTTACTACCACACTTTTTTCTCATGACAAAACTACTATGTGCTCGTCGTAGAAAAGATTTAATAGTTTAAAGTCAGTTTTAAAATGAGTGATTAAATTTGAATTGTGATCATGGTATAAGGTGAGAGAGAACGGAGCAGTCATGGTGAATTCTTCTAGTCCTGTTTTCCCTTTCTGGAGCCTTATTTTTTTGTTCCCATCAATTTTCTGCCTGTGTGAACTCCTTAGGCCCCTGCGCCCCCTGCAGGTGAAATGATGAAGCGGATGCTCTCTGCTTGCTTATGTCTTGGCTAGTTACAGGCTCTGTGTCTTCCTGAGGAGCCTGGGCGCCACCAAGGTTTGGGACAGAGATTTGCTCACTAGCAGTGTTGTGTTTTCCTTTTCTCCCTCCGTCGTCTCTGATGAGATGGGCTATGACCTTCGGGTCCTCCCTTTCCAGAAGCTTCCTCCCAGGATGGCCCTGATCCTGGTGGCAGCCACAGGTCAAGCCAAGTGACTGGCTCTCCTCGGCCCCCGCCCCAGCCCCAGTGTGCTGGCCTGGAGCTGAGTCTGCTGTGTGACGGTCACCCCTGCCCCTCGTCAGCCACTCTGCCAGGGATGGCAGCACAAAGACCTGAGCTCCCCTGGAGCCTGGGTGTTGGTGCCCACCCGCACGGCAAAAAGAAACCACTCGAAGAGGCGGACCCCTCCAGATTGGTAGGGAGTGGTTTGGACAAGAAAGGGAACTTCTGAGGCTTATCTTGGGCAGCCACAAGACTAGTAGATCTCTGCACCATCTGCCAGTTTGTATGTGTGGGGGCCTTAACTGGGCCATCCAGATGGTCTGTACCACACCTTCCTCTCTCAAGGCTCCATCCTTGAAACAGTTCCTAGTGTGGAAACCGTACATTCTAAGGACAGGGAAGGGGTGAGGAGCCTCCATGTGCCTGGGTCAAGCTCAAGGGTCAGCCAGGGAGCACGTCTTGTCAGTGGCCTCCTCCAGCCCCGGGGCCAGCAGGCCAGCTCTGACAAATGTGCTTTCTCACCAGGGCCCTTGTAACAGCCGCACTGCGCATGTGAAGCGGTTCTCTACTGTGTGTCCGGCGCTGTGCTAGCGGGAGGAGGAAGAGGGACGAAGGGCGGGGCCGGGCGCCTGCGCTCCCTGACGACAGAAGCCTGTCTGTGTTGTAGGTGTCCTGTGTGGGCCAGCTCATCTGCGCCGTGATTGCAGAGTCCGAGCTCCAGGCAAAGCGAGCGGCCCAGCGAGTGAAGGTTGTCTACCAAGATTTGCAGCCACTGATCCTGACAATCGAGGTAATGAGTTCAAGGGCGGGGTCAGAAGAGCACATTTCCCCGGTGGAGCCGTTAAAATGCTCTTTGCCTACAGTGACAGGAAAGAAAGTCTGACTCCAAGTGATGTGCAATACGTAGGGTATTTCCGGTTGGCCGGTTGGCCCTGGTATTTCCGGTATAGTCCGGTTGGCCCCGGACTGTATCAGTGTTGGCACAGAACCTGGTTTTGTGCCTCTTCTCTCTGCTGCCCACAGTCCATGCCTTAGCCCCTGCAGTCACAAGATGGCAGCCAGGAGCTTCTCGTCCATGACCGGGGAGGAGAGAGCAGCACTGTCCCAGCATTCCAAGCTCCAGTCCTGGGATCCAGCCTTATCAGGCCACTGAGGTCACACACCCGTCTCTGATTGGATGATTAGCCAGAGGAACGGAGGACCTGTTGGTTACTGCTGGGGTCAGATTTCTTTGAAGTGTATGGGCCACAGTGGGGTGGGAGGGGATGGAGACGTAAAAAGAAATCTGATCCCTGAAGGGGACTGGTGGGAGGAGTGCTGCATGGGCAGGCAGCGGTGTCCGGGACCCTGAGTTCACCGGCACCCGGACTTTCTCGCGGGTGTGCAGGAACCAGCAAGATGCTCTGTGCAGCAAATCCTGGAGACCCTCTTTAGATTCTTCAGTGCATATCTTAAATGAGTATGAGGAATAGAACCCTGTGATGCCTGTAGGTATTTTGGCCACTTACACCAATTGGAGAATTGCATTTTCTATCCTGTTTTTTAGAAAGAAGTTAGAGATTTATATAAGACTCATCTCCATGAAATGATTGGGTGTTCTTCTGCATCCATTTCATTGGTTCTTATAATTTACTAAATAATGAAAGCATGCACGTTGGGAAAGCAGCATGAATAGATTAGATTCAGCACAGACAGACTCCATGTACTCTGGGAATACATTACCTTCACAACGAAATGAATCAGCTGTTCTCTAGGTGACTAGCGTGCCCTCCGGCAGAGAATGAGAAACTGACTTGGCTCAGACTAGTGTCTCCAGAAGAACTTGGCCTTGGTGTGTTTCCTATCATGCTGCTTTATTCCTAGAAACATAGCATTTGTGTCTGGACAGTGTCCTCAGTGTTTTAAAATTAAAATAAAATCATGTCAAGAAGACAAACATACAGAAGTTAAGCTGGAGTCAAGGAGTGACAAAGCTTCCCCAATTTTCCTGGCCGGTTCCAGATTCCAGCGTTCTCTTCCCTTCTTAGTCAGATGTTGCCTGATGCATTTGCCTGCTTTATACACTCAGTCCCCAGCATTTTGTTTTAGAGGTACTCCTAACTAAGAAATTATTCCTTAATTACTTCTTCATAAGAAAATATTTACATGATACTTCATCAAAATTTTGTTTACAGTCCTTTCCCCAGTACTGGTGGCTAAATGTCTTCCCTTCCCTGCCCCCACCTGCCAGCCAGATGAATTTCCAAACAAGTAAACAGCTGCCACCCTTCTCCTCGCCTGCCCTCACTCCACCTGGCAGATCCTCAGTTGTTTGCCAGAGAATACCAGCATCAAACACCAAACTTTGACACGTGGAGGAGAGCTGCCTCACATTTTTATCAGAGTTCAAGCTCTCCAAGGTCAGTCAACTGGATCAGGGTGGATTTAATCAAAATCTTTAGCAGGGAAATATGCCCAGCTCTGTACACATTACAGTTTTTTTTAATCACTTTTTTGACCAAGAAATATTCGGGAAATTGTCTCAAAGTCACTCAAAAAGCAAGCAGCAAGTGAAGTGGAAAACGATTAAACTTTAAAAAATAGGATTTATAAATCCTAACTACTGTTTTCAACCTGGAATATCTGAATCTTAGATTAATAAGAAAGGCATATAAGTTCATTCTAGAAGGAACTGTGTTATCCATCTAAATAGGATAAAAATAAATGTATCTCTGTCACCAGCACTGAGGTTTAACCAAGCTAATGCTTTCTAGAATGTTGAACAGTTTGAGTGGGGAAACTCTATCAAAACTCTTGGCTCGAGGGATCAGGCTGATGACCATGGTGAGGAAAATATGCTCCAGACCAGAATCCCCCATCAGTCATCATGATCAACAGCATGAGCATAGCTAACACACAGAGTTCATTCACTACAGGTCAAAGCAGGTTTTAGACATTAACTCACTAAACGCTCAAAACAGTCCTGTGAGGAAAAACTCTTACTGTCTTTATTCTGATGAGGAAAGAAGAACATGGGTCACGCAGTCACACAGCTAGTCAGAAATAGAAGCAAACAACAAACCCTTCATCAAGGAACCTGGGTCCGCTGGTGGTAAAAACAAATGAACCCACTCTTTGAGTGGGGGAAATGGCAGGATCACAATACATCAGTCCTGTAAGGTATGCTGGTAGGTCTGAACATCTGCTCATGGCCAGAGGGAACCAGAGTTAGGATAATTCCTAACTGCCAACAGGCTGGACTTTCTTGGATGGCCAATAATCCACGGTAGGTAATGGTGGCAGGAGCTGGGATGACACATTTGCCAGGGGACGCAGGGATTACAGCAAGATAAATTCCTTGAATAGCTAAGGAAACCAGCCTACATGATTGTAGCTACATCCCTGATGATGTGTACCCAGCAGTCTCCCTTCACTAGGCACCCAGAGGAAGCCGATAGGACCCAGTGTGTAAGTGGATTTGACATACCCAGACTGGGCGTGTAATGGAATCTCACCTCCGGGGCTGGAGTCCCAGCTGCCCTACTGCCCTGCATAAATGCTGTGCTTGTCCTCCCAAATGAGGGGCGTGGGGTTGGGGGGCAGGTCCACCATGATCCTTACCACCAGAATGTCTTCGGCTAGCACTTATTGAGCATTTATTACATGCCATGTAAGCCTTCTACATGTCTCGTTTCATTTTATCCACACTACAATGCTCTTGGAGCTGTGTGCACAGTTCTGTCTCCGTTTACAGATGAGGCTCGGCAGAAGAAATACTAGGCCCCCAGTCAAACAGGTAGTAAATGGAGAGAATGAACATAATGCTGACTGGCTCCAGAGTCCAAGCTCTAAACCCATGTGCTGTGTGGCCTTGGCTTCATACAGTGGGTTGTGGAATGAACAGTACAGTCTTCCTGGAAAAATATTAGCTCCATTCCGGGACCACCTTACATGCTGGGGTTTTTCCTGGGCGTACTCTCTTTTGACTCAAGGGCACATTTGTATTGGCTCTGTGAGGAGTCTCTCTGAAGGCTGGTTCTTAGCTCTTCACTGGGATTGTGCTGAATGGAAGAGCATGGGATTCCAGAGCAGGAGCAATGTTGGCCCGACTCAGATGATTCCCCACTGAGGGTGGCTACGGCCAGAGGGCTGCATCTCTGGCCCACACAGCCTCACTTTTCTGTTCTGTCCAGGAAGCCATACAGCACAGTTCCTTCTTCAAACCAGAGAGGAAACTGGAATATGGAAATGTGGATGAAGCATTTAAAGTGGTTGATCAAATTCTAGAAGGTAAAGCTTTCTGGAAAAACGTGAGGAGGGGGAAGCAGCCCAGAAGGCTTCTGAGCTTGTCTAGTTTAATGCTACCTTTGCCTTTCAGAAATCACCTAGAAATCAGCCGAGAACAGGCACTTCATTCACACATGCATTTCCCTCTGTGGGGTATGTGTGTGCATGTGCGTGCGTGTGTGTGCGTGTGCGCATGTGTGCGTGCGTGCGTGTGCATATGCGTGCGTGTGCGTGTGTGTAGAGCACAGCAGGGAGGTGAAGTGGGAGGCCCAGCCCCCTATACTGTGCACTGACCACCTGCCCCATCATGGCCCCAGTTTTTATACGATGTTATCTCTTTTCCTGCTCATAACCACCCTGCAGATCGGGAAACAGGATCAGAGTGCTTGCAGAGCTTGAACAGTCATACAACAGCTACTAAGTGATAAAGCTGGTCATCAAATTGATAGCTTTTCTTAGCATTTCCAAAGCCCATGTTTCTTTCTCTTCCATCCTTTCTCTGATTTCTCCCTCCCTTCCTTCCAGACTTCCTTCCATCATGTATATGTGTAATTAAAATGAAATTTCTCTCTTAGAAAATAGTTGATTTGAATTTTCCAATAAAATTTTTGTAACTTTTTATTTTGAAATCATTTTAAATTTACAGAAAAGTTGCAGAAACATTAAAGAAACTCCAAGTTACTCTTAATTCAGATTCCCCTATTATTAACACTTTACTACACTTGCTTAATCATTCTCTCTTTCTGTACACACACACACACACATTTTTTCTGAGCCATTGGAGAGTAAGTTACATGTTGGTTTACCCCTAAATACTGGTGTGTATTTCCTTAGAGCAAGAACATTATCTTACTTAAAGAGTTATCAAAATCAGAACATTCACATTGACATAATTACTTAATCAACAGACCTTATTCAGGTTTTGCCACTTGTCTCAGTCATGTCCTTTATAGCAGAAAAAAAAAAATGTACCATGGGTCTTAAATAACACATACTTTCCCCGCTCTGCTCTGCTCTCATCCATGCTAGAGAGCCATCCTTAACGCTCGCCATGCAAGGTCTACTTTACCCAGATGTGTTGCTGGGTGGGCATGCGCTTTCTGTCCCACATCTCAGGGCAGAGACTATCTCATTTGGCATTGTCTGTCTTTAAGTGAATTTCCAGGTGTTGGTGTCTAGTGCATGTTTGAAGCTACCATCACCCTAATTTTTCTCTCCAACCCTGATCCCAAGCTCAGAAGAGTCCTAAGGCATACCATCCCCGAGCGTACAGCCAGAGGTCTGTCAGGTATAACAGCCCAGCCACTTTAGTTCAAAGCCCATCATGTTTCTTAACTCCACAGCTGTGTTAAACCAGAACATGGTCACGGGCTGCCTGGATGACGTCACCTGGAAGCTGTAGAAAAGACACCTTGCGCCATCGCCCTTCCAGTATTCCCTTGGCACGCCGTCTCATCAGTGTGTGACTTGGCAGGGCCCGTCTCCCTGCTTTAAAATTATTATAAATAAAATAATCCTGATCTCAGAGATCCATTGTGAAGATTCTAAGAGATAACATAAGTGTGCTTGGCATAGAGCTTGGCCCATAGTAGGGAGACCCATAACTGTGAGCAGTAATTTCTCCTAGGCTGAGATGTTTCTGTTGTTCTCTAGGCAGGATTTCACAGTCTACTACTGAGCTAACACCCTGGCAGGTGCTCATTTAGCACACCCGGTGTTTCCCAGCACCTCCCAATGGGAGCCATTTATGAGACCTGCCTGGGGATTCCTGGAGCTGCCTGCTTTCTGGAATTCTGGAATTGGGGGACCCAGGGTAGCACAGGAATGTGCTTTTGACGAGTTTTCACAGAGCTCCAGGTGATTCTTAGGACTAGTGAAATGGGGCAAACCCTCGAAGGATGGGGCTGTTTTCTGGGAGACAAGGAGGGAGCATTTTTAGCATAAGAGATGAGGTGTGAGCATCTTGGAAATATCCATTTTTAAAGGGGTTCCTCCACTTGGACCATAGTATGTTCTTGCCTCTGTTCTTGCCATGTGTGTTTTTGTGTGAGTTCAGTTGTTTTTCTTTCCCTTGACATCTTCTTTAATCATTTAATTCAGTTAAGGAATTTATTCAGTCTCTCTCTTACTTGAATTTTAATTTGTATCCTGCCCCTTACCCTACTGATAAATACGAAAGTGATACAGGATGCTTTAAAAGGGACATTTATACCACTTTTAAGTTTTCATCTTCTTGACTCACTAGTATGAGGTATTTTTTTTTTTTCTTACAATGCAGTTGTCATTTGAGTTAAGAATTTTTGGCCACTTATTTCAGCGAGAGGTAACTGGAGATGACAGTTAAAACAGCACTTTGCCCCTCAGGAATATAGCTGCTCAAAACAGCACTTTGCCCCTCAGGAATATAGCTGCTCTAAGAAAAACAAATATTTAAAAGATAAACTATGTGGAGCACTAACGACATCAAGTCTTAGACTGTGTTCTTGAAGGGAGTGAGATTATTGTTTGTTTTTATTCTGTGTGAAAATATATTTGGTCCCTTCCTAGCCCTGATGTCATAGCACTGGGAGGGCATTAAAAGCCCCCATTCGCAAATAAGCCAGCCGAGGCTGGGAGGCGTGTGATTGAGCAGGAATCAAACTGATCTAATTTCCCAACCCTGAGGTGAACGTCTCTCTCTACGTGATGCCACTTCTCATTTCTCTCTTTTAAAATTCCGTTAGCCAGAACGGGCTTTACACTGGAGAGCACAGAAGGCAATCTGTGCAGTAGGATTTGCAAGAGATCTAGGAGCCCTGAAACCGAGATTATCTTCCCCACATCCTGTCCTACTGGGCATAATACAGATAGACTCCTGTATATCTTAATGGTTTTTCAGTCTTTAAGGGCTTCTTATTAAAATGGAAATGTGCCCAGAGGAATCACTCCTAAACCCATAGTGGAATAACTTTTTATCTCGGGGATTAGCTGATCAAATTAGTTGATCAGATTAGTTGAGAGCAATACCCTGAGAGGAAGAGAGGGAGGGCCCTGTGGGGGGGAGGGCTGCAGGATGGATGGCGCAATGTAACAGGGTTCTAAAACTTGGCCTGCTTTCCAGGTGTGAGCAGAAAGAGCTCTAATAGTTTGTAGCTTTTCATGTTTTAAGTGAAGTAGGTATTTAACAAAATAAATTCTGAGTGGATAGGTGGGAACACTGATATGGTAAACCATGAATTTGAGCCCACTGACAAGTGGATTTTTCAATGTGCGGTCTTTGATAAAACTTTACATTAAAATTGAGATTTGAGGGGCACTGGGGTGGCTCAGTTAAGCATCTGCCTTCAGCTCAGGTCATGATCCCAGAGTCCCGGGATTGAGCCTCACATCAGGCTCCCTGCTCTGCAGGGAGTCTGCTCTCTCTCTCTCTCTCTCTGCCCCTTACCCTGCTCGTGCTCTCTCTCTCTCACTCTCTCAAATAAATAAATAAAATCTTTAAAAAAATAAAATTGAGATTTGAGTTTTGACATTTTAATTTTTATATTTTATAAATGAAACATAATCTCATTTTTCTATATTTTTTCTTTATTCAGATTTTGGATAAGATAGGAAATCCAGACTCCAATACAAAAGATTTCTTTGGGAATCTCCCTTAAACCATCTGAAAATCACTGTTATTGGATACATTCTTAATTTTTTAAAGTTCTGCCTTTCACCTAACTAACATAATGGCTGGTCATAATTGTATTCTGGTTTTTTTTGTCTGTTTAATTTTTTTCCCCCTATCTTCCAATGGCTTAGTTGAACATTTTTCAGCACTCCATTTTGATCTATCTGTAGTATTTTTGAGTCGATCTCTTTGTCTAGTTTTTCTGCTGGTAGTTCTAGGTGTATTTTACATATATATAATATATAATATATAAATTACAATATATCTGGTAGCAACATTTTAATCAGTTTGCGCATAGAAATTTGCCTTTCTTCACATCCTTTTACTCTCTCATTTGTAATAGTCTTAAAAAATTCCCTCTTTATAGTCTGAGTACTACATGAAACAATGTTAAAATTTTGCTTTCAATGCAATTTGTAAAATTCAAGAGGAGGAGGAAAGTCTGTTGTGTTTACCTGTATTTGTAGTCTTTCCATTGTTCTCTCTCCTTCCTGAGGTTCCAAGATTCCTCTAAAAAAAATCATTTCTTGTCTGTTTCAAAAACTGTCTTTAGCCATTATTTTAGGATAGGTCTGTTTAAGACAAATTCTTAGTTTCCTTCATCTAAGAATGTCTTGATTTCTTTTTCATTCTTGAAGAATATTTTTGCTGGATATAGATTTCTGAGTTTATAGGTCATTTAGCAGTTGAAGAAAGATGTTGTACCTTTCCTCTAGTCTCCATGGTTTCTGATGAGAACTCTGCCTTGTGAAGAATCTTCCCCCCTGTAGGCGAGGTAGTGTTTTCCTCTGTCTGCTTCCAAGATATTTTCTTATTTTTACTTTTCAGAAGTTTGACTCTGATGGGTCTTGGCATGGATTTCTATGGATTTATCATATTTTCAAGTATTCACTCAGCTTCTCGAATCTGTAGGTTTGTGTCCTTTGCCAAGTTTAAGAAATTTTCAGGCATTATTCCTTCAAGTATTTGATGTCAGTGACCCAAATGTGCAGTCTTTTTATAGTCACACAGGGTCCTAAAGCTCTGCTCATTGTCTTTTCAGTCTCTTTTTTTCTGATGTTCAGGTTAGGCAATTTCTGTTGTTCTAGATTCTTGATTACTGATTATTTCCTCTGTTGTCTCTATTCTGTTGTTGAGCTTTTTCCATTGAGCCTCTTAAATTTTGGTTGTTGTATTTCTTAGTTCTAAAATTTCCATTTGGCTCTTTTTGTATCTTCTGTTTCTTTGCTGAAATTTTCCATTCTTCCATTTGTTTTAAGTGTTTATGTAAATGCTCACTGAAGTATTTTTATGATGGCTGCTTTAAAATCCTTGCTAGATAATTCCAGCATCTGTGTCATCTTGGTGTTGACATCTGTTGATTGTCTTTTCTCATTCAAGTTGAGTTCTTGGTATAATGAGTGATTTTCAATTGTATCCTGGTCATTTGACTATTCTGTTTTAAGACTCTGGATCTTATTTAAATCTTCTATTTTACCAGAACTCATCTGACCCCATGTTGGTGGGGAAAGGGGGTTTCTGCCTTGTTATTGCTAGGTGAAGGGTGGAAGTCCAGGTTCCTCGTGTGGTTTCCAGTGATACCACCACAATGCAAGGTTTAGGGCATCTCATTATAGCCTGACAAGGGTGGAAGTCTAGATTTTTCCATCCAACTTTTGCAGATAGGGATGGGGCCGCAGTTTTTTCACTGGGTAGTGTGGTTATTTTATAAAAATTTTCTTGCTAGGCTTCCCATCTCTTGGTCCTTTCGCTGGAGAAAGTAGGCTTTTCTTGGGGCCTTTCTTTCTGTCTTTTCCTATTGATATTTTGGGATTGCTGGCTTCTCTGGTACCAAGTCTGGGATATATGAAGCAAACGGCAACAACAAAGAACATAACTCACTAAACTCACCATGTGTCTTTCCTTGGATCCCAAACTTCCTAGCTGGTCTGCCTTCTCTCTACCTTTCAGAGACTTATATTTCTTTTGCATATAAATAAATAAAGTTGTGTGCTGTACTTAGTAGAAGGAAACAAGAGAAGTGCATTACTCCATCTCATCTTGGACCAGAAATCTCCTTTCCATAGTGTTTTGACTGACTCTAGAATGTCGCACACCTTTTCCTAGAACTCTGTGACCTACCATATTGGGAGACCTGACAGATACCCATACAGAACTCTGCTTCAAATCTGCAGATATAATGAAAGCCAAATGTTCGTGGCCCTTAACTGTGTAGCTTGCTATCCTAGCAATAGCACTGTTGGTGGAATTTCTCAGTAATGGGATAACAGCTGGGGAATTCTAACTGTTCTATCTGAAAGCCTTCTTGACTCTGTGTACCTTCCTATAACAGGTGAAATACATATGGGAGGTCAAGAACATTTTTATATGGAAACCCAAAGCATGCTTGTTGTTCCCAAAGGAGAGGATCAAGAAATCGATGTTTATGTTTCTACACAGTTTCCCAAATACATACAGGTAACATGGGGCCATTGCAGAGGAGAGGTGGCTAAATGGTTTCTGCTGGCAAAATATACCAAGAGCAATTAGAGACAAAAATGTCACTGCAGGAACTGAAGGAATTTGGAGTACTAACAGCCCTATGCATTTGGGTATTAATAGCTGTACAATTTCAAAGCTTTTAAGATAATGTTATGAAAGTAGGCACCTTTTGTTTGTGGATTTATAACTTCAGAACCAGTTATGGAGTCAGCAGATCTCTTTTGCTATACTCTTGGCATTGTTAAGAATACGAAAGGAAAAAGAGGAAAGCCTGCCCTCCAAAGATTATAAGTGCCTAACTCTCGTGAAGCAGTTAGGAAATGGTATTGGACAGAATGCAACTTAATACTTAATCAGCTAAGTCAGAATTTATTCAGACGGAAGAATTAAGAGAAAGGAGGGTTTGCTGAGGGCTAGAATCATCCAGAAAGTCCATGAAGATGAAGTCTTCAGTTTGGATTTGTAATGAGAATGAGGTTTATCTAGATGGTGAGAAGAGGAGCCATTTCTAGGCAATTCCACACCAAGATCAAACGCCACTCCTTTATCATTCATTCATTCATTCATTCACTCATTCTTTCTGTAAACACATATGGCCTCTGTCCTGTATACCAGGCAGCATGCATGTAAGAAAGGAGGACTGGCACAAAGATGCCCAAGCTGGCATCAGGGATGCATTCAGGAGTGGCTAGTTGAAACATCAGGGTGAAAGCAAGGGGAACAAAGCAAAGGGGTTGATTCAGTAGGTCATACAAGCTGATGTTATTACCAGAGCAGGTAGAAATGTGGGAATGTGTGGACTGAGGCCTTTTAGAAGCTGGAACATTAAAAAGGGTCAGGTGAGTCCCATTCCAGTCCTGTCTGCTACTCACTCCCTATGTGATTTTGGGCCCATTGCTTCATCCCCCTGGGGCTCCACATCCAGAAACATGAGTTGTTAAGATTAAATGACCTCCCAACATTAGGATGGCAAGGAAGAGCAAAACCTGCATCCAGGGAGGACCCACAGGCCAACTCAGCAATAATCCAGATGGGAGGTGAGAAATTTCTCCAGTGGAGGCAGCAGAATTGGGAACAAGATCCAGTCTGAGAGACGTGTGCAAGGCCTCAAAATCTCGCTGCTTCAGGAAACGTATCCCAAGGGATTAGTATGTAAAGGATACTTTGGTTATGGTTCATAGGGGAATTTCTCAAAAATTTATTAGCACAGGGGTGCCTGGATGGGTCAGTCGGTTATGCATCCAACTCTTGATTTCGGGTCAGGTCATGATCTCAGGGTTGTGGGATTGAGTCTTGCCTTGGGTTCCATGCTGGGTGTGGAGCCTGCTTAAGATCCTCTCTCTCCCTCTGCTCCTCCCACCCCCACACTCCCCTCATGCTGTCTCTCAAAAAAAATTGTTAGCACAAAAATATCCCATTGATACTGAAAGGACTACTTAATGATAGTTCTTGCAGTGTCATAATAGCTAAATGCCACTGAGATCAGTTGTGGATGTATGCTTAGGTTATTGGCAACTGTCCTGTTATTTAGTATAACTACACAGTTCCTGTATTGTGTACAACATTTTGAAATCAAAACGTGTAAAGGCTGCCCCACTCCCTTGCTGCAGATGGATCAGATTAATGGGAACTATTATCATTCACAGGACATTGTTGCTTCGACCCTGAAGCTCCCAGCTAACAAGGTCATGTGTCATGTAAAGCGAGCTGGTGGGGCTTTCGGGGGGAAGGCTTTCAAAACCGGCGTCCTGGCAGGCATCACTGCGTTTGCCGCCAGCAAGTAAGTGGAGAAAATCTGCTAAGTAGACTAAAAATAAAATGAAGTCATGCTGTGCATTCTCAATATTGGGGTTCAGGAGAACGAATTTGGGTTAAGATTATTTAAAATCACATATGGTATACAAATACACAAAACTGCCATTTTATTACAACTTTTTAATCTTATATTGTCATAACAGATACTAAGAACCAAAGTGAGACTCAACTACTGAAAAGAATGAAAGCCACAGTAAAAATACCTGAAGAGTAGACAGAAACAAGTCCCAGATGGATGGTGGTTACTTGTCCTTAGCACCTGTATGTGTATATAGGTCAGTTCAATGGTTTGAAAAAAGTTCAATCTTTTATAAATATATATAACACAATATATAAAATCCTTTATGTGTATTTGTGTATAACAATTGCTATATTATATATGCTATATAATATAGATATTAAATATATAAATAAATAAATGTGTTCATACATACATTTTCTTGATTTAAATGGAGATTTTTGCTTTTGTGATGCTTACCTTTATTTACATTGCCATTTCCCTTTAAGGATCTCAAAACATTACCATAGGAAATTGTCTTTGGAGCAGGCACATGAGTGCTCGCTTCGGCAGCACATATACTAAAATTGGAGCAGGCACATGTAGAAGGCTTTGATTTCTTTGCTGAATAATATAAGTCAGTTCCTGTATCCCATGAAGCAAAATGACCTTCATTCCAGATCTGTCCTTTCAGGGAGCACTTGGTAATCAGAAACCACCTGAGTTCCTCCATTTGTAATCAAGTCTATAATGTGGTCTTGGGACCATTTCCCTATAGCAGAGGTTGTTATCACAATGGGAAATATTCCCAAAGCAATACCCTAGAGCCCCTGACACCCAAGACCCTCCCTTGCATAAGTAGTGAATGCCAGCCATTGTACCCTGACCCAAAGGGAGGGGAGGCCATTGTGCATGCCTGAGATCAGGACAGCCCCGGGGCAGTAGTTCTGTTGAACTGTAATGTGTGTGGATTGGCATCCACTCCAGCTCTCACTGAGAGTTATATAATCCCCAGATAGTAGCTCTTTGGTATACAGTTTACCACTCTTTCTTTTTTTCTGCTTTAGACACGGTCGTGCAGTCCGCTGTGTTCTGGAGCGAGAAGACATGTTAATCACTGGAGGCCGCCACCCTTACCTTGGAAAGTACAAAGTGAGTAGAAGAAGAGTGGGGATGGAAAGGATTTATGTTATCAAGGTAACATTGCATGGTTGCAGAGGGCAGCGTTGGGCTGCTCTCTCCTGGGGACTAACAATGAGCAAATCAACAAACCCTGCTTCTGTTTAACTTTCTATTCCTTGTGCTCACTGATTATCGGCTGGTTCACATCTGCTTTACTCAGGGAGCACTTGGTAATCAGAAACCACCTGAGTTCCTCCATTTGTAACCAGTCTATAATGTGGTCTTGGGACCATTTCCCTATAGCATTTGTAACCAATCTATAATGTGGTCTTGGGACCATTTCCCTATAGTGAAAAAGTACTAACTGGATTTGGCTGATACAGAGTGAATGACTGGAAAACATGTGAGTATATATACATCTATGAAAGTAGACCTGATAACCGGACTACTTCCACATTTTCTTAAAAATAAATAAATATTCCTAATAGTGTTCTGTGAAATTGCAATTATTTGCCAACAGTTTCCTCATTTTTCAATATATAAAGGTTATTTCTATAAAACTCTGTCCCAGAAATTCCTAGGAAAATTTCCATAGCAGAAAATAATTATTCTTTTGCTTTATAAGAAATAAATTAACTTGTCAGAATGGATTAACTGCCATAATAAGTAACTAAAAACTCTCAGGGGCTTAAACCTGTATTGTGTTATTTCTTGCTCAAGTAACAGCTCAGTATAATCAGCAGGAGTTGTGGAGAAGGGGCGAGGAGAGGACTCTGCTCCGAAAAATTATTCAGAGACTTAAACTTTTTCCATCCAGTAGTGCCACCATCATCCCCTCAGACTGCATCATGTGGTATGGAAGTCACAAGGCTCGTATGGCTATTCACGTGTAAATTTAAATTAACTAAATTAAATAAAACAGAAAATTCAGTTCCACAGTTGCATTAGCTGTATTTCAAGTGCTCAGTAACTACATGTGGCCAGTGGCTGCCATATTGGACATGTAGATATAGAACATTGCCATCATCTCGGAAAGTTCTATTGTAGAGCACACCTTAGGGACTCTGAGTCCTTCACTGAGTCTTCTGCAGAGGACAGAACACAAGGGAAGAGGGAGAACATGGAGTGTTGTGTGGGGGGTGTTTTAGGCACCAGGTGTGTTAAATGTGGGCCTTGCTTCTGTTCACGTGTGTTGAGCCAGGACTTTGTCACCTAACTACGAGGGTGGCTGGGCAACGTAGTCTTCCATGTGCCCAGGATGAAAGATAGCAACATCTGTTGAACACAGCATCATCTCCCCCGCAACTGGTGTACCTGCATACATATTTTTAGGAGATAATGGATGTATTTATTTCAACTCACGTTCACTCTGAGCTATGTTTTGAATTTAGTTTGGTTTAACAAAGATTTATCAGAGTGAACTTTGTTCTGACAGAGATTACATTTTAGGGAATGAGGGGAAATAAAACTTACACATATGAAGTCATCATGAAAACATAATGTCAGGTTAAAAGATGAGATGCATGTGGTAAACCTATGAGGAGAGAGGAATATGAGTTGCAGTATGTTCATGAGACATCTTAGAGAAGGTGAAACATAAAGGGCCTTCAAGAACAGATGGGCAGAAAGAAGACATATGAGTGGTGGGAATAGTAAGAGCAAAAACACAGAGGAGGGATCAACATGGCATGTTTGATGGGGGTGGCGGTAAGGAGAGAGGGCGAATTAGAATACACAGTAATTACTGAGGGGTGGTGGAAAATAAGGTTGGTTAGGTTAAGTGATGCCAGACTGAGAGAGGCCTAGAGTTTCAGGATGGGGGTTGAAATTTGATCTTGTAAGAAAGAGTAGGACTGTGTAGATCCTTGATCAGTCAAGTGTCATAACCAAACACAGGTGCATTGGGGAAGGTAATATGATGGCATTGGGCAGGATGGCCCAGGGAGGAGAGAGGGCGGAGGCAGGCGAACCATCAGGAAGCAGCTGAAGCATTCAGACATGAAGTATTTTGGGTCTGAGCTGTGATAGTAAGATGTAGAAGAAATGAGTCCAAGAGCCATGGTAGTATAAAATAAAATAGGAGTTGGTGGCAAACTTGGCAAAGAACAAGGGAGAATAAAACCAGAAACATGACTTGGAGGTTTCTAGGAGAAAGCACCAAGTTGGAAGGAGGAACCAATCTGGAAGAACAATGATGGATCTTGTTCCTTCACCAGTATGGTTCCTTGTACTTCACCAATATGGAACCTTATTAAAAGGACTTGTTACAGCTACAGAAGCCTTAAGCATAGTGGTGATTATAATTATGAGAAAATGATGCTTTCTGATGTAAAGACAGGAGAGGATATTAATAACATTTATAATAGTAATATTAATAATTTATATTTAGAACACTTGCTGTGTTTCAGTCACTCACCTGTAATTTTCTATGCATTATTTTCTTTATTGCCATTTCGCAGATAGGTTATACAGCTTGCCTAAGATCACAGAACTAGTTAAGTGGCAGAGCCAGAACTCAAACTTCTGGAATTCATAGGCCATGCCCTTGACTATGACTTTGGTTTGAATTTGGTTCCATTCAACAAAAATCACAAAGTGAACTCTAATAAGTTCAGAGATACTGAAGCAGAGTGCAGATGGAAAGCATGGATATTGGATACATATGAATCACAGAGAAGATATTTATGTAAAAGACCTCGAGTAGCACCAAATGCTGCTGAGAGTTTTCATCAAATTGGGCCCTCTGAGAAGAATGTGCTGAGTCCATTCGGGAGCAGGCCACCAGATTCGGAGATTAGAAGATGAGGTGGCCTCGGGGGAGAAAGTTCAGGTAGAAACGTGGAGCCAGAATTCAAGGACTTGTGGCAAGAAAGGAAGGTTACGAACTATGCGGTTGATTTGCTTTCGGAGGAAAGAAAAGGGTTGGTAAGAACAATAGTGATGAATTTTCCAGGAGGGGTTTTCGTTTGTTTTGCTTTTATTTCTTTCTCTACACTTACTTTCTCCTTTTTTAAATTATTTTCAGTTGTGGCAGAATACACACAACATAACATTTACTGTCTTACCCGCGTTTAAGTGTAGTTTGGTGGCATTAAGCATGTTCACATTGTTGCGCAACCATCATCACCATCCATCTCTGGGATTCTTCTCGTCTTGTAAAACTGAAACTTGGCACCCACTAAGCAATATGTCCCCGTTTCTTCCACCCCAGCAGCCCCTCAGAAGCCACCATTCTACTTGCTAGGAATTGGACTACACTAGGTGCCTGATATAAATGGAATCGAACAGTATTTATCCTTTTGTGACTGGCTTATTCCACTTGACATAAGGTCCTCAGAGTTCATCCATGTTATAGCAGGTGTCAGAATTTCCTTCTTTTTTAAGGCTGAATACTATTCCATTGTATGTACCACATTTTTTCGATCCATTCATCCATTGATGGACATATGGGTTGCTTCTACCCCTTGGCTATTGGGAATAATGCTGCTGGGAACATAGCTGTACCAATAGCTCTTTGGGACCCTGCTTTTAGTGCTTTCAGATAAATACTCAAAAGTGGGATTGCTGGATTATATTGCTATTTTTAATTTTTTGAGGAACGGCCATACTGTTTTCCACAGCAGCTCCACCGTTTCACATTTCCACCAGCAGTGCACAGGCAGTCCAATTTCTCCACATGCTCACCTACACTTACTATTTTCAGTTACTGGCTGGTTGCTTGGTTGTGTTTTTATAGTAGCCAGAATTCTAATGGATGTGAGGTGGTATCTTGTGATTTTGATTGGCATTTCCCTAATGACTAGTGATGTTGAGCATCTTTTCATGTGCTGATTGGGCATTTGAATACTGTCTTTGGAGGAATGTCTATTCAGTCAGGTTGGGTTTTTTGTTGTTGTTGTAGGAGTTCATATACATACTGGAAATTAACCCCTTATTAGATACGTGATTTGAAAAATTTTCTCCCGTTCTCTGGTTTGCCTTTTCACTCTGTTGATTGTGTTCTTTGATATATGGAAGTTTTAAATTTTGCTGTAGTCCAATTTATCTATTTTTGTTGTTGTTGTTGCCTGTGTTTTTGTCATATCTAAGAAATCATCACCAAATCCAATTTCATGAAGCTTTTTATCCATGTGAGGAGGACTTCCAAGTGACAAAGTAAAATGTAGAGAGAGATGGTCCCCAGCACCAGCATTAAAGATCAGTTCTCTTTTCCTAGGCTGGGTTCATGAACGATGGCAGAATCTTGGCCCTGGATATGGAGCATTATAGCAATGGAGGCGCCTCCCTGGATGAGTCATTACTTGTAAGTGCTTTAAGAAGCAAGTTCACATTCTGGAAAGTATTACATAAAATGATACAATTTAGAAGCTGTTCAATAGTTAAATAATATTTTAATAAATAAATAAAGACCCACATTGCAGGGATAGCCATGTGTTACTTACTGGTGCCCCCAGAGTGAGCCCAGAGATACTGGCTAAGTCTGTGTCTGTATATTATCGCCATGTTTCCCGTACTTAGAATTCTTTTCCCAAATGCAAGCATTAGACCTCACCCACGGCTCTATTGACGTTCTGGCCTGGATCATTCTTTGCTGTGGGGCTGTCCTGTGCATGGTAGGATGTCGGGCAGCATTCCTGGCCTCTATGACTAGATGTCAGTGACACAGTACCTTCTAGTCTCAACAACCAAAAGTGTCTCCACATTACCAGGGAAGACAGAGGACAAAATCACCCCTGGTTGAGAACCAGTGCGTTCGACCAAATACCAAAACGTTTTTTTTCATGCTCTGTAGGATATTTTATTCATTACATTCTGTAGACCCAGTGTTTAGAGCCTATGAATGCCTCAAAGTCTTTGGCAGATGTCTGAAACCTGGGGAAAAAATGCATTAGCCCTAAAATATGAAAATAAAAAATGATGATTTCAAAAGAAAAATTATTCAAATCCTTAAAAATTATTTCATAACAAAAATTCTTTTAATTTAGGACATGGATCTATTCTAGCATGTTAGACGTGATGTAGAGAGGGTTGGTCATTTCCTGCCTGGTTTTGGTCTTAGGTCTCAGGAGGGCAAAATAGGTATGGAAGGATGAGAATCTGATCACACCAACTCTGGATTTCCCAGGTGATGGAAATGGGACTTCTGAAAATGGAAAATGCTTACAAGTTTCCCAACCTGCGCTGCCGGGCGTGGGTGTGCAGAACAAACCTTCCATCCAACACAGCTTTGCGTGGCTTTGGCTTTCCTCAGGCGGGGCTCATCACTGAGTCCTGTATCACCGAAGTGGCAGCCCGGTGTGGTTTGGCCCCTGAGCAGGTACGGCTAAACTAGTCTCTCACACACAAGACATCAGGCTCCAGAGCAGGGAACCATCGGGGGTCATTCAGGTTGAGTAGTTTGGATCCAGAGGGGCTAAATGATGTGCCCGAGGTAACCCAGCTAACTAGTTAAGACAGAGCCTGGACTCCAAAGTTCAGAGATCCTACTCAGGCTCTTTCCCAAAAATCCTGGAGACAGAGTATATTGAAGAGGGAGCTTTGGATTCCAGTTCATTCATTGAGAAGTCTCCATCGGCCAGGGATATAACTGCTGCCAACGAGTTCTGTCAAGCCCTTCTTTTTTCTGCTTCCTGAACATCTCAGGCAGCTGTCAGAAAGTTTCAGTCATTTCAGTTACTAAAATAGTTTCCTTTCTGTTCCTGAAGTCTCGGTCCCAGTTTCATTCATTAACAAGCTCTGTTCCCCCCCACCCCCCCCCACCCCCATGCCTCTTGCACTCAGAATCCTGGAGCCAAGTTAGGGTGGGGAGACACGGCGTGCTTCCCCCGCCTGCCCCCGGCTCTGTGCCTTCTGCTGTGCTGTTGGGGCAGAGAGGGAGAGGAGGACCAGAGGGAACAGCCTCTGCCCAGCGAGCTCTCGGCCCTTCCTTGCTGAGATGCGGCCACTTTTCAAGTATGTTTCTGTGGGCTCCATTTCTGCTAGCTCTCTCACAAATGGACAGCCTCTGTGAGGGTGGGTTACATTTCCAGCCACCCTCAGCTGGCACCTCCGGCAGGTTTCCTCATGCCTCTTTGCCCCATGCTGCAGCAAACCTTGGAAAGCCCCAGTCCCCACTTCATCTGCCTTCTTTCTTTCCATTCAATATTAGAATCGGTGGCCCTAGGCAGGAGCCATTTTCTTTATGTCTCTTGAACTCCTGGGGGTCCCTGCTCCTCCCTTCTGGTCGTCTCAGCACAGCCTCCTTCCCAGATGTGCTGGCGCCTTTGATAGCATAGGGAGAATTAGATAATGACCTCCCTCCACCCCTGGGGAAGTCGGAACAGAAAACAGCCACCCTTAAAAAAATACCGCCTTCCCTGGGGCACCTGATGGCTCAGTTGGTTAAGCATCCGACTCTTGGTTTCAGCTCAGGTCATGATCTCAGGGTCAAGCGATTGAGCCCCAAGTCATGCTTCGTACTCAGCATGGAGTCTGCTTGAGATTCTCTCTCTCCCTCCCTCTGCCCATCCTGCTCGTGCTCGCTTGCTCACTCGCTCTCTCTCATAAATAAATAAATAAATCTTAAAAAAAGAATCTTAATTTGTTCTTCATCCTAGTTATCTGTTTAAACATAACCAATAACTAGGATGAGCAGTCTTATCTTGCCACAGCATCTGAACAATCCAAATTGTGTAGATCATGTAGCCTGGAAGTTAAATTCAGGATTACCTTTCAACAGATGTTCACAAATGCAACTCGAATTAGAGGAATTTACAGTGTACCAGGACTATACTGAGTTATATAAGAAATATAATGAAAGGATGCCTCCCTTTGAACTTATACCAGAGCAGCATAGAAAGCATGTTAAGTGCTAACCTATTAGATAAAGTCTTCAGGTAGAGAAGGCTTCAGGAAGGGCTTCAACAAGGAGTAAGTGGAACTCAGTTTGGGCCTGATGCAATGAGCAGAACTTGACTAGGAGGACAGTGGATGGAAGAGACTACATCTGTTGCCTCTCCTCCCGTTTTGATCTCCTTTTCTTTTATAGGTCCAAATGATAAACATGTACAAGGAAATTGATCAGACACCCTACAAACAAGAGATTAATGCCAAGAACCTGATTCAGTGTTGGAAAGAATGTATGGCCATGTCTTCCTACTCCCTAAGGAAAGCGGTCGTGGAAAAATTCAACTCAGAGAATTATTGGAAGAAGAAAGGGTTGGCCATGGTACCCCTGAAGTTTCCTGTTGGCCTTGGCTCAGTTGCTCTTGGTCAGGTCAGTTCTCCAAACAGACCAATCAGAAGGTGTTGGGGAGACTTTCTGTGAAGGTGGATTAGCCATAGGGTTGCAATGCTGGTTTGTAAACCTTCCCCAAAGCTGTCCTCCGTCAAGCTAGTTTTTCTCCAGAGGAGATAAGAGCTCCTTTGCAGGAATCCCCAGGATTAGTGACAAGCATTCTTGCTGGGAAATCGGGAGAGCTGGTATCTGCTTTTGGTCCTGGCATTAAGCAACTGAGTCAACTTGCTCTGGGCCCAGATCACTCAAGTATGAAGTAAGATGGTGGGATGGATGACTGCCAGCACTCCTCTTCCAGCCCCTCTGTGCTGCAGTGTCACTGGACCATGAAATAGAAATGGGAAGCTGCACAGCATTTGGCTTTTGGAGGGTGGGATAAACTAAACCCAGAAGAGTAACTCATTTAAATAATTTTTTTAAAAAACAGAATTTTAGAAATTTGCTCCCTTCTTAGCTGTTAAAAATGTGAAGAAATTTGTTCTTGTAGTTTCTTCAATTGATTAAATAAATTCCCTGCTTGTTTTTGTTTGCTAAATCCCACTTGGTGCATGCATCTGCCCCCTCATTCTTGAATGAAACGTACCCGAACAGCTGGTGGTCTGCGCTATTCTACCTCACTCTACAGCAGTGATGTGGGACCCTTGTTATCTACGTTCTTACACATACGTTTGCATATGCATACATATATGTAGAGAAGATGGCAGAGCCCTCAAAACTGTGGTCACTCCCCTTTGCAGAATTCACACCTTCCCCTGAGTATGAAGAAGGAATGGCAGGTGCTTTGAGTAATGACAGATTAGGGATAAATGGGAATGGAGCTGTGAGGAGCACTAGTAAGTATGCTGTGTGTAGAGGGAGAAGAGGAGGCCCCCCCCAAAAAAATGGGCAGGAAAGTTCTTCCTTCATTCGCATGCTGATCCATTCACCTAACCATCCTGGCTCAACTGTGGTATGATCATGAGAATGTTCCGTGCTTGCTTAGACCAGTAGTAGCTCAGAGGAGCATCGTAACAATACAAGTGGTAGTCTCTTTTGCAGCCGTCCCATTCCTCGCCTGTTTGTGACAGCAGAAACAACACAGAGACATTTAGTCATCTGCACACAATTTACCCAGATGAGAGAGACAGTCAAGAGGCTCTGGTAGAGGAATAAAGATCATTCAGAAGGAGGGGAGAGGAGAAAACCACCACTAGGAAAGTGTTAGTGAGCAGTGAATCTTGGTTTGAGGGTTAGACTGATTAGCGGGCAGCTAACGAAGACATGAGTCTGGTCCATCTGTCCCTGAGCAGACCAGTGAGGATCCCTGGGTAAAATAGTCCCTGCTGTTTACAGATCTCCTGGCAACCCCAGGACATAACCGTGGTAGATGCGGTAGGCTGTCTCTATTTAACTGTTGCCCTTACCTAACATCTGGTCTCCACAGTAGACCAGACCTGGCCCATGTCCCATATCCGAAATTTCTCAAAAATTTTTCATCTAAGAAATAATGATAATTACTGAGCACCCCTTTTAGATTTTATCTCATTCAACCCTCAGGACAACCTATAAGATTTGTAGCCTCATTTAGTGGTGAGGAAACTGAGGTTTCAAGAGCTAAAATAACTTGCCTGAAGCCCCACATCTAGAGAGTGGGGGACTAGGGCTGGAGATTCGTGTCTGAGAGGCTCCAGGAGCAGTATTTTCTCAGCTCCATCAAGCTGCCCCTCCGTGGCACCATTTGGTGGGAACTGAGGTGGGATTCAGCTCAGCCGGGAGGAAACCAGACCACAGCGAGCAGTATGACTTCATTCTCAGACCACTAGCCCTACCCGTCTTCCCCAGAGACCAGCATCCATGCTGGAAACATTGGTGTAGGGCCGAATCGAGGAGTCCAATCGGGCAAGCTGCTCCGTGGAAGCCGTGTGCCAAAAGGCGATCCTGAAGCAAACCAAACAGAGGAGGGAAGGAACTAGGAAGGTTATCAGAAGGCCCAAGGCTGGGGGATTTGTAATGCCCCATTTCACCTTCGTTGGATAGATATGATTCTGTTTTATAGAAGGAGAACCTGAAGCCCATAGGCGTTCACTCTCTGGTCCAAGGATATCCAGCTATTGAGCCACAGAATGTGAGAGTGGACTTTGAGACTGTCTGATCACATGTCTTCATCCTCCCGTGCACTCTCCCTGAGCAGGGGCAGCCCCTGTGCCTGCGACAGCTGAGGGGCTCACACGTACCTCCCCTCCAATGTATTTAAGGACTAGCCCTGGGACACGGAAAAGCAGACAAGACCTAATTAAGCTCTGCATCCCCAGTACCTTAGCATGGCGCCTGACACAGGGTGGAAACTCAAATGCTCCAGTGGCTGAGACATTTTGGGAATCCGTGGAACGAAAGCAAACTGCTCACCAACCCCGGCAGCCCCTGCTGGATGATTTAGATTTCACAGACTAGGTCCCCAATCTGTGTCAGAGAACCATCTGTTCTCATGCTCCAGTCGTGCCAATTTCACAGATGAAGCTTTGCGGAATTTTCCTTTGTGGCAGTAACAGTGGACCCTCTGGTGGTGCCACTTAACTGAACCAGATTTGATATTTTCAGTGCCCCGAGGGGATGGTAGCAGCACAGGGAACAAATTCCTCAGCAGTCCCACGCGGGCAGAGCCCCGTGGCCAGCAGGGTCACGCATGGAGGAACTGCACAAGCCACTGGGATTGTGGCTCTGGGGCGTGTGGCAGCTACAAATTCCCACAAGCAACTTCTGAATTGCTTGCAGAGCCAAATCAGGAGGCCAAATACAGACTTTAAAAGCTTCAGAAACAGATCAAATCGCTGTAGACTTTTACTGGGCGCTTACTATGTGGGAGATACTATGTTGCATTCCAAGGATGCCTTAGGACATGGCCCTTCCTTTCAGGGGGCTTCCATTCTAGCAGAGAGCAATAAAGTGGCAGAGAATGGAGCCTGGAGCAGCCCTTGCAGCCATCCCCCGGCATCTGATGAGCAGCTGGGGCAGCCAGCACCAGGCTATCTGTAGGGGATGCCACTCCCTAGCTTTACTGTTTTGAGAACAAATGGTCGGGATCACAAGATGGCATCTCCAGGAGTGATGAGTGAACAAACAGTAAAACACTCTGCTTCATCCTTCCAAGTCTCTTGGGCATGATTATCATGGCAACAATGCCTTCCTCAAGGTTCTAAGATTCTCCTTTGGGCTGAGAAAGGTTATTCCTATGTCCCTATTTGACCAATACATCCCTAGGGTACACCCGCTGACCCAGGTAACTAGAGCCCATTTTCACTGTCAGTGTCTTAGAAGCTTCTGTTTCACTGGAATCATGTAAACCTTTGGGTATCAATAAAGAGGCAGTCCTCCAAGTGTGGCTCAGGGCCCACAAGTGGCAATAAAAGTTCTTCTGGTCATCAGAGAATCGATCAAGGAATGTAGTTCATTCCTTAGGTGCATCTGGTGATTGTCATGCAATTTCATTGACTTTCACTTATGACCAGGGTTGTTTATAGGTAATCTGAGTAATGAAGGTTTACTAAAATTTTTGCTTCATTGTATACCTATTCACTTGTTACTAGAATTTTCTTAAGACCCTGCCTTTACAAATCCTAGATTTTTGTGCCATGCTGCCTACAAGCTTAGATATTAAGAAACTAGCTGACAGAGCTTTAAGTCACCCCTTGCTGGCCCAGACCACACCTATGAGGTTAGCATTTCCCAGTTGAACAGCTACAGAAGTGTGCCTTGCAGGGCTTCCTAAACCACAGTGCAACCACTGGGACATTTTCACCAGGACCACATGCTGTTAATATTACTCTTACACTAGAGATACAAAGTGAAAAGGCCATCCTTGTTCTCTGCAGCCTCCTGGGATATCTTCATCCCCCTTAGTCTAGCATGGACAAAATTGCAAGAAGGCACATTGGTGTTGATTATAAAACATTTTTAGCTAGAGTCTGGATGTTTCTGATTATAGCAGCCTTTAATTCTGTGTTAGCAGTTTGGTTCTTTCTCGGTCCCTGTGGGGAGCTATACAGTTAGATAAGATTACTTCCAAGTTCCCTTCCAACTAAAGCCCTATAATTCTGTGCCAGGATAATTTGGGGTAGGCTTGGCTCATTTTGCAGCAAACAATGTCTGTCTGTCCCATCTTATTTGGGTTTTTGTTTTTGCTTCTCTCTATCATACCTACCACTATGGGATTATGTGTTCATGTAAACAATTCTCCCCTGCCCCAACCTATCTGCCCTTAACTTGGCATTTTACAACGGACCCCCCCCCCAAAAAAAAACCAAACCCCAAACCTAGATTGTTGTTCCACTCTGGATTAGGGAGATCCTCACATGTCCTCATGAGGAAATAGTAGTTTACGGAGGGTCGTCCTGCCCCAGCCTCAAAGCCCCAGCACTGGCCTGGCTCTGCTCAGTGTTTTCAGGGCACTGGGAAAAGTGTGCGTATTTCAGCAGGAGATGGAAAGGAGGGGATCATTTCCAGGGAAAATGTTTTATTCTCTTTATTTATTTTCATCTGGTACTTTTTAATACCTTCTAGAATAGACTGACAGTGAAGCACATATTTGGTTTTTGAGGATAGTTTTTATGCTGATACCTGGTTAACGTTAAACTACTAAAGTAAGGGTTGGCAAATGACAGAGTGGGTCAGGTTCTGCCTTGTTCTGTATGTCTTTGAGCTTAGAACAGCTTATTACATGTTTTTCATTTTAATTCCAGTTGTAATTAACATACAGTGTTATATTAGCTTCAGCTGTACCATATAGTGATTTGACAATTCTATACATTGCTCTCCAGGGAAAATGTTTTAATTGATGAGACATGTGATAATATCAGTCCAAAAGATCATGGAAACTCTTGTCATCTTTTCTGGATAGGCTGCTGCCTTGGTTCACATTTACCTGGATGGGTCTGTGCTGGTGACTCACGGTGGGATCGAAATGGGTCAGGGGGTCCACACTAAAATGATTCAGGTAAGTATGCAACTAGTTGGATTAAGTTGGGTGTGTGCTTGTAGCTGTGTATGAGAGAGAAACCAAGCATGTGTATTTTCTGTTCTAAAATGAAAAAGATACGAGATTTTAGCTTTGACAGCTTAAACTGTTAAGCTGTTAACGGAAACTGGATAAACCAGCTGGTTCTGTAACTGAATGTCCTAAAAGAATGTGACAGAAGAGTCTCAGGTTGTCTTATTGCTATAGAAGATTGTGTCTTTATTTGTTGCTTTCCTTTGGGTAAGCAGGTCTCTCCCACCATCCGCAAACAAAGTATTGCTTTGAAACCTTTTGTAAACCAAAATGGAGTAAAGCAAAGTTGTAATTACCATTAATTTATATGAAAATAGGGGTGGCTCAGTCATGAGCCCAGGGTCCTGGGATGGAGCCCCGCATCGAGCACCTTGCTCGGCGGGGAGCCTGCTTCTTCCTCTCCCTCTGCCTGCTGCTCTGCCTATCTGTGCTCTCTATCGAAAAAAAAATTTTATATGAAAATATTTTTGAGCCTTTCCAGACCCCCCCCAAATTAACCTCTCTTAATATTTTCTGATTTGCTGATGGATGTAAACATAAATGGAGATAAAGCACAGATGGTGACAGATGCAGTTCACAGCTCTGGCAGCTTGATGCCCAGACGCTGAGTGTGGCTCCGGGGCAGGAGCTTGGGGTTCTGCTCTCCCTGCTGGGGGTCAGCGCTGCTTCCGCAGCCGTCCGCTGCCAAGCAAACACTGAACGCTATCTTGGCTCTTCATCTTTTTTTTAAAAGTGAAAATCCTCTTCAGATTTATTTCAGTGAGCGAAAACAGGTACCAATGTAGGTGTTTTGTAAAAACCAAGAGACTCTCAAATTATATCAGTTTAACATACAGGGTAATATTAGTTTCAAGTGTACAATATAGTGATTCAACAATTCCATACAAAGAGGTGGACACCAGTATTAACAAGCGAGTTGTCTTTTTTGAACCTTTGCTGGCTAATAAGAAGATGTGTAGATGCTGATGTATTGCATCATTTCTCGACCTTTTTAGGACTTGGTGTAATCGATAATATAAATCACATTGGATATTTCTAATCAAAGTCTACCTGTTTTTTGACTCATTCACTTTAGATTAATTTTTAGGTACTGTTTCTATTTTGTGAATAATAATAACATTAAAGATTTTAAAACATTTGGAAGGGGCAAAAAAAATTGTTAAAAAGACTCTGAACAGTTTCACCAGTTAGCAGTAAGCACTGTTTTGAGGTCTTTCTTTTTTCATAAATTGCTAACATGCTGTTTATATAATTTTTTGTATCCTGGTTTTTTGTGTGTGTTTTATTTAAATTCCAGTTAGTTAACATACAGTTATATCAGTTTAACATACAGGGTAATATTAGTTTCAAGTGTACAATATAGTGATTCAACAATTCCATACAACACCCAGTGCTCATCAGGACAAGTGCATCCTTAATCCCTGTCATCTATTTAACCCATCCCCCCCCCCGATAACCATCAGTTCTCTATAGTTAAGAGTCTGTTTCTTGGTTTGCCTCTCTCTCTCTCTCTCTTTTTTCCCCTGTGCTTGTTTCTGTTTTTTTTTTTTTTTTCACCTATCTATCTGATAGAGAGTGAGCACTTCCTCCTGTGGCTAAGAATTCTTTGCAATCACGCTTTTTAATGGCTGCTTGTGGATGTATGTATAATTTATTTAACCATCCCCAGTTGTTGAATACTTCAATTAATATTTTTGTATGTAAGCCTGTCGTCAGATTAATGATTATTTTCTTAAAATAGATTTCCCGAAATGAAATTGCTGGGTCATAGAGTGTACCTTAAATCACGGACACTTATTACCAAATTGTTTTCCAGAAAGTATGCTTTTCATTACACCACTAACCAACTTTATCCGTTACGGCTTTTTTAAAAACCTTAGATAATTTAATAGTTGTGAAGGGTAATATCTCATTATTGCCTTGATTTGCGTTTTTCTGATTATAGAGACTTTGCTAGAATTTTGCAGAGTGAGGTGATAGGAAAGGCCTCAAGGTGTTGATTTCATGAAGACGTGAAGCATCTCCTCCTGTGTTGGCTTGGGGCTTTGCCTCCTCTTCCTGATGCTATTGCACGTAAGAAAGTCAAAGAAACAAGAATGTGTGCTCAAGGTTTAGGGTCCAGACTAGCTATACAGGGTCTTTAGAAAAGAACTTTTTGTGGCTGGAGGAATTCATGGTTCTCCCCGCCTGTCCCTGTTGCGTGTATGGGGGCTCACACTTGGGCCACTGTGTGGGTATGTGCACAGGTCTGTGACTAACCAAAGTAACGTGGAAAGAATCTCTCCTCTAAAATTCAGGTGGTTAGTCGTGAATTAAGGATGCCAATGTCTAATATCCACCTGCGTGGGACAAGCACAGAAACTGTCCCTAATACAAACATCTCTGGAGGTTCCGTGGTGGCCGATCTCAACGGGCTGGCAGTAAAGGTAAAAATCATTGCCACGGCATCCAAATCATTAGCCCCACCAGGCCAGGAACATGGGTGGAGCTCAGAAGATGTTGAGGTTTAATCCAGTTCTTACCTCCTTCTCACACCCTCCTGGTGAAAAACGTGCTTTCCCCCAGCATCAGGTTCAGTACGTGGTACAATAACCAGCTGCTCTCCTGGGCTGGAAATCCATCTCCTTTCCTCCCTCACTCCTGACATCTCATGGATCCTTCCCTTCCACTCAGAAATATCTCTGTGTCTTTTGACATCCACGTTCCGGGAATATCGCTGCTTGGATTCAGACTCGCACCTCTTGCCAGGACCATTACAAGGCTCTGTCTCTCCACCGGAGTTTTATTGCCTTTCACTCTGGCTTCATGTTGACAGAGTGAGCTTTCCCACAAAATAAATCTGACCATGCCGTGTTTAAAAACAGCGGTCAGGGGTTTGCCATCAGTTTTTCTGTTAAGTCCTGACCTCTTAGCACGGATTACAGGCCCCCCAACCTAGACGGTTCATCGTTAAGACCAGCTCACACTTCAACCCCACCCCTGGGAAACCTTTCACATCACCTCTTAAAAGGTCGGTCTCTACCTTCTCTGTGTTGTTGAGGGCCTGTGGGCCTCCTAAACAAACTCTGTAATGACACATATGTTGTGGTTTTGAAATTAGTGTTTGCCTGAAATTATGATAATGATTTTAATTAAAAAATAATCCCTAGGATGCTTGTCAGACTCTTCTAAAACACCTTGAACCCATCATCAGCAAGAATCCTCAAGGCACTTGGAAGGATTGGGTGAGAATCACTGTTACTTTTGTGTTTTATGTTGGGGGAAAAAAGGAGGGAGGAAAAATGTGTGAATTAAATATCAGTTGAAATGGCACTTTAAAAGGTACTACAGTTACATAACGGTAAGTAGAGGCCTTTTGGCTCTCTGCACGTGGAAACGTTATCGTAATATGGTAGAGGAACTCTTGCATCTGGGAAAATTCTCCATTAGAGAGGAAGATTGTTTTTCTACCCAAAGCCCTTGTTTTTAAGCCAGAACAAATTAATGTTTCTTCTGATGGATCCCAGGTATTTTCTAGATAACAGCTGTAAATCTCTTTGTTCTCCTCCTTTGGGTTCCACCGTTCCTAAACGGAAAGCCAACACTACAATCCTCCTATAAAAGTAAAAAATCACATAAGCACTCGTGTAGAAATAGGAAACCAAGCCACTGGATATGTATTCAACCAGTAGTAGGCATTAAATGTAGTGGAAATTTCAACTGCTTCCTTCAATGTACTTACAACCCTGTTGGAAGAGAAAACGCACATTCTGCAGTCAACTAGCATACTTTTAAAGTAATAGGTTATAAAGTACCAGATGGTGTGGAATGGATGTCAGTGAAAGCTGAGAGTGTGTGTCAGGCTGACTGAGGATGTCGCATTAAAAGCATCGGTCGGGGGAAATAGCATTTGGGGAATCCTCCTTAGAAATGGGTCCTGCTCTTCCACAGAGTTAGGACTCATTCTATAATTCATATTTATGGGAGCTCTCAATCCTTTGGGGGCATCTTTATTTGTGCCCTCTGCCCTGTGCTTTCCGAGCCAACAAAAGGCAGAGAGAGCCTGACTGAAGAGGGATACTGTGCAAGACAGCCGGGCCTCTGCCCTCAGAGATGCTACCATTCAGCGTGCTTTCTTCTGCTGCACTCCTCACCTTTTCCTTTCTCGGACTTGGGGACGTGGACCTAACCCCCATTTTTCTATTAGTCAACTACGTGCAGTGCAGAGTCAGGAGAACTTACCATGTCAGTGGTACAATGTACCAAAATTATGCCACTTTCCCAAGACCAATGAATACCTGGTACTAAAACTAAACAACAACCACCTCATTGTCTCCTGAAACATTCCCGGTGGATAGGCTGTCTTTTCAGAAGACCAAGTGAGGTTCTTTATCAGCAGAAGGCCTGTGGGCTGTTCTAGTCCCGACTACGGGTGTAACATACCTGGGCAGTCACGGGACGTCACAGGCCCCGAACACATGCCGTTACTCGCGGCAGCGACAGCGAGTGCTCGCGAGGGCAGAGAATGCAGAAGGGAATACCTTAATCTTGGTTCTTCCTGGTTATTAGTACTGATAGCTGCATTTCACCTAGAGTGAAACCAAGATTGAAGTCGCAAGCGATTCTTTCTTGAAACATCATCATCGCATCATCTTTCCTCTTATTTCCCAGGCACAAGCTGCTTTTGATGAAAGCATTAGTCTTTCAGCTACTGGATACTTCAGGTAAAGAGTCCTTTCGATCACATGCTATGAAAAATAGCAGCTGTTGCTTGAGGAAGAGTTTCACTTCCATTCGCAATTTTGGAAAAAAGTTGATTTGGGTGACCTTCTATTAACCCACTGTTATATACAACATTTAGCTTCTAGTTAATCCAAATGCCCAGAGAGGCTTCTGTTGGGAAAAATAGGCACATAAAATAAAATACGGCTTGAGCTGATGATTCGAATCCTACTGGGCGGTACTGGAGGGTTCTCTGAGGTTAGTGCTTGGAACCCACAGCAGTAGCTGATGTTTTGTTGAAAATTTAGCGTATCCTTAAGAGACAAAGGTAAAGGGATGCAAATTAAACCCATAATAAGATAAACACCATTTCACACCTTCTAGATTGGCAAAAAAGAAGAAAGCTGACAATAAGCACGTATTGTCAAGACGCTGAACAATTGTCACTCACCTACTTTGGAAAATAATTATCAGATTATTTTAATGGAAAATGAAAGCCATCAGAGAACAGGGTGAATCAGAAAGTCTCAACTGATTTGCCATGCTGCTAGTTCTCCAGGGAGTCTCAGGGCACTGGTCGGCTATCAGGAATAAGTGTGAGAAGCGTTTTTAACGGCCACCTCCAGGCCGGGGAAGCAGAGGAGAGAAGGGGAGAAAGTGCCGGCAAGCTGCTGGCCTGCACGCACCTCTTATATGGTGACATCCATTTGGTCCCTGAGGAAGAGTGAGGAACAGAGCAGGCGTGGAAACCAGAGAAGTAGCAAAGAATGAGAGCCAGGGGCCTGGTGTTACAAACAGAAGGCTGAATCCTGGAGCCGGAAAGACAGACGAACAGGCGAATGTGCAGCTTTGAAATAGTGCTTGGTCTAAAATGCAGGTGAAATTCCCCAAGTCTGATGACAGTAGGATGACATGATTCAATATTAACGAAAAGTAATAGATTGGGTAATCACAGAGTGAGCACCTAACTTCCAGGCATAAGGAGTCATTCATTGGTGAGGAGCAATTGAATGTTTTTATCAGACAAAGCAAATTTAATAAGAAAGAAGTATACATTTGTTCAACAGATTTATTACACGCACAACATGCCGGCACATCATTGTACAAGTCTGTTCCGCCGGTTTGCTGTACATGCAAACTGAACACAGCCTCTTACGGGTCTGTTTAATCATCAGGGTCTGCAGTTAGGGGACTGAGTCACTTAACAATGCTCCTCAAGAATTCTGTTTCTTCCAGGGGCTATGAGTCAAACATGAACTGGGAGACAGGCGAAGGCCATCCTTTTGAATATTTTGTTTATGGAGCTGCCTGTTCCGAAGTTGAAATAGACTGCCTGACAGGTGCTCATAAGGTCAGTACCAACTGGAAAGGTCTTCCAGTTGTACCCCAGATACACCTAAATTCCGCACATGACATCTGTCTGAGCCCCGTAGAAGCACCATGTATTTGGCTAAGGATAGTTTCTCTGTTACCAGAAAAAATTAGAAGCTCAGCAATTGCCTTGGTATTGTGGTTGCTTCCATGGAAAATGACCGGCGGCCTCTCTTCTTTATTTTCCTGGCCCTTTTAAATGGAATCAGGAAAGAAACCACTTCAAGGAAGAAACAGAGCTTAAAGAGAGCTTTCATGTAGACCGTTGGTCTAACCAGCAGTCCTGAACTCTTACATAAAATGCCATCATATGACATTTTTGAAGGATTTTGTAAGCATCCATAACCTGCTAACAAGCACCAAGGGCCAATCCGGGGAAGCTAGTGGCCAGCTTTTGATATCTTTTATCTAGCTAGATCCTGCTTTTTAGATAGTTTAAGGGCATCCCTATGCTTTTAAGGGATGCAGTGAGGAGATATGCACACAGTTTCTCTCTCTCTATCTCTCTCTCTCACACACACACATGCACTTCTGTTTCAAGGAGAGTTTCTCCTCTTGTATCTCGGTCCTTGTGGGACCCAGCTACAATGAAGCTACTTACTGGCCACTGTTAATAATAATAAATGATCATTAATACATTCAATGGGACTATGATACCCTCACAACTGTCATGTGATAATCTGTCCCAAAACCTACCCAGAAGCAAGCTCTAGGTCTTTATATTTCCCAACATACTTTGTGACTGTATCTTGGATTATGATAAGATGTAAGTTTTCATTTAATAGGTCTCTGGCATGTATGTTTTTTAAAACTATAGTCAGCCTAATCTTTGAAACTGTATATACCTTTATTGAACCTGCCTGGTAAAGTATCTGGTTTGTTCAGACTCTAACCCAGACCAGACCACTTTTGGGGAATCTTGGACTGGGACACAACAATGATCATTCTAAGCATGGTTTTCATGCTAGAGTAGCTGTCCTCTTTTAGTTCAGTAGAAAGTTCTCTCAGGCTAACTAATTTCTACATCACCTTCTCCCTCAAAGAAAAATTTGGTGAAAACCTAATCACTTGGGTTTTCTTTATTTGTATATGCCTTGGCCTTGTTAAGATCTAAGAACAAGGTAATAATTAGTATGAATAATTGGTATGAAATTCTAAGGTGTGTTCTTATGACTTAGTTGAACAATCTTAAGAGATGTGCTAAATAGTCTTTTTATCAGATGCATTCAAAAAAGCTAGATCTGTAGCTCAGGTTAGGTATACCCCTAAGTAAAGGGCTATAATGTAACATGCCACCCAGGGCCCTCCCTGGAGGCCTGTTTCTCAGTCATTCTCCTTATGTTGTTAGAATTGTTCTTTTTTTTTTTTTTTTAAGATTTTATTTGAGGGAGAGAGAGAGAGTGAGAAACAGCATGATAGGGGAGAGGGTCAGAAGGAGAAGCAGGCTCCCTGCTGAGCCGGGAGCCCAACGTGGGACTCCATCCCAGGACTCCAGGATCATGACCTGAGCTGAAGGCAGTCGCTTAACCAACTGAGCCACCCAGGCGCCCCTAGAATTGTTCTTATTCCTACAAAATTTCCCTCACTTTGAACCTACATCTATATATTATCTATTGCTGGGTAACAAATTACTCTCAAGTTTGGCAGCTGAAAATAACAAATATTTATTAACCGACAGCATTCTGAGGGCCAGAAACCTGGGAGTGGCTTATCTGGGTGATTCAGACTCAGGATTTTTCACAAGGTTGCCATCAAGCTGTCAAAGAGGGCCACAGTCCTCCCAAAGCTCAATAGTGGCTGGAAAATCTGATCCAAGCTCCATCACCTGCTTGTTGGCAGGAGGCCTCAGTTTCTCACTGGCTGTTGGTCAGAAGTTTCCATTCTTTAGCACAAGGACCTCTCTATGGGATGTCTCAGTGTCCTCAGGACACGCAGGCTGCCCCCAAGCCCAGAGGGACTGATGCAAAGGAAGAAGAGAGTGTGAGCAAGTGAGAGAGCACCCAGACAGTAGCCACAGTCCTTTACACCCTAACACCGGGGTGATGTGCTAGCATTTCCACATGTCCTGTCCGTCGCACAAACTAACGCTGGTAGAGTGTGGGAGGGGAATCCATCAGGACGTGAACCCAGCATGCGGGGATCGTCATAGGCCATCTTGGAGGCTGGCTACCACAACTAGAACTGCTCTCTTCAGCCCTAACAAAACACAGTGACAAACAGTAAGTCCATGGCTCTAAAAACAAAACTTTTACTAACACTGCAGACTTGAGAGCACCTCCCCTCACCAGTAATGGAGGCCATGGGTCTGCCGGAAGGCCAGCCTTGCTGAACGGTGTCACAGAGAACTTTACATTTCATCATGTCCTTAAAGAAGAAAGGTGTTTTATTATTTTATTGTAATAAAACATTCTGGATCACTCTCTAATTTTCTTAAGAAAAACGTTAGATGAAAGTCCCAAATCAAATAAGAAAACTCTTGGGTTTCCTTTGTTCCATTAATAGTTGTAAGTAGAATCTATTTGTCATGGCAGACGTCATTATGTCAAGTAAAAGAAGGTACAGACTTGCTGGAGAGCAAAGGTGTTACCAGTAACCTGGCTGGGCCTGCCATAGTCCTCATTTGTAGCTTATCAGGAACTTTTGGTCACCAAGTTGTGCTTTAGATTTATCTTTCCTCTGCTCTCAAAATGAAGAATCTGCAACAGCAGATAACAGTTTCGGAGACTTTTTAGCTGATGCACCCTGAGTTCTGTGCTTCAGTCAATGTCACCCAGCCAGCTGGACTCTGGATGTTGGGTTGTATGGTAGCCACAGGGTTTTTCAACAAGGATCACGAGGACTGTAAACATTTTCTGTGTCATAGATTATGTCTGCTGCGCTGGGTTGAACTCAATAAGTTACGTCACTCAGCCAGAACAAAGTCAAATATTTTTCTCTCTTGTTGTTCCTGAAGGAAAAAAAAAAAATCGGTGCTTAAGCTGGTTGAGTATGTGTATAATTTTGAAAGTTATAGATAGACTGGTGACCCAATAAAATTCTTTGTTGATTCTTTCTCCTGAAATGTATTGTGGCCCCAGAAAAGTCCTATACCAATGGCATCCTGGCAGAAACTGTTTCTCAGCCTTCTCTCCTACGTTGGACTCAGTAAAATAAACATTTTTGCTCTTTTTTATTACCAGAACATCAGAACAGACATCGTCATGGATGTTGGCTGCAGCATAAACCTAGCCCTTGACGTAGGCCAGGTATGTGTACCTGCTTTGCCTCAACCCCATTTGTGAAAGCCAGAACCGCTGTGGGGGTCTGTAGGCAAAACATTCTACCCGGCTTATTCGTCATTGTAGTTTTCTACCCCTGTAAGTCAGATTCCATTCGTCAGGCCAGCCACAGAACTCAAATCTCTTACTGTTTAAAAAAGGGGAGGAAACAAAGAAGTTTTAAGTGGTTTCTGAAGAGACATGCGGTCTGGGACTGAGGAGCTTGAGGGAGGCAGAAGAAGCAAGCCTAGAGGTGTCAGATGTGCCCCTCACCTCTGGGATTAGAAGTAGACTGGAGGCTAAGTGTGAAGCCTTGGGCATACGATGGGCTCTAGCTTCGAGGAGTTTAAAGTCGGGTTGGGATAACATCAAACAATTACAGCAGTAGCCATTAATAATAGGTAGCCTGTTTTGCCCACAGTTATCTTTTATTTAAATTTGAAACATAACATAATAAAATAGAATAAAAGTAAATAAATAAATTTGAAATAATTGACAAGACTAAAAAATCACCAGCTGTGTTACCTAAGTATTCAACTGGCTAGTGTTTCTTGGAAACACAGAAAATTTGCCAACACTGACGCTGCATTTCCACAAGGAAAAGTCAGTTGGCTCCCTTGTTTAAGAGAAGCATGTACTCTGTGATTCTAGGAGTCAGGACTCACCTGGAAGCTTCACTCACGTTCCTCACCTGTCTCCTACCTGTGGGCAATTCAGCTTACTACCCGCAGTTCAGAACATAATTGGAGGTACTCTCCAATCATGACACGTGTCATTGGAGAGTGGGAGGAATGGGTGGGTTGGAGAAGTCAAAACGGGCTTCAGGGAGGCCCCAGGTTTAGGGAATGAACAGGAAAAGGCATTCTGGGTGAGAGGAGAGGGGAGAACCTAAAGACAGGAAATTCAGCCTACTCTGTGTTCAGGGCTAGTGGGGGGGCGGCGGAGGGGGTGACGACAGTGGCGAGTGCCCGTGTGGCCTCTGTCAGTGGAATGGAAGGTGCGGCTGAAGGCAGAGACCAGAAGGGGCCAGGTCGGTGGAGGCGCCCCAGAGACAGGCGCCTGCCTTAGAAGGTGGAGGTGACATCGCCTGGCGCGTGGTCTAGGCCTTTAAAAGGAAGATTCATCTAACATTGTGTTAGAGAAGAATCTCCCCGCAAACAGACACAAGGTAGGCCGGAGGGTGGGGTGGAGAAAACGGCACACCGAGGAGACCCAGAAGTCAGGAAGATGTGTGGAAAGCCAATTTTGCCCACATGCTGACATCTAAGAATTGGAGCATTTTAAAGCTGTATAGGAAGCTTGGAGAGCACACAACACAGTTCATGTAACTAACAAGTGAGGAAAGGGGACAGGAATGAGAGGCCACGCCCACTTGCGAGCCAGGATTGTGATGAGGTGAGGGGACGCTCTGAGCCCTGTCAGTGTGCTGGGGGCTACGGACAGATCGGTCACAGGGTTCCTTCTGGCTCATGGACCAAAAGAAGGAGGGCCTTTGGGCCACAGGCTATTTGAGGCCTCTTCTAGAGCTAGACTTTCACTGCCCAATTGAGATTCAAAGTCAACTTCTTTGACTTTGAACTGCGCACCGAATAAGATGTTCAAAAATGAGGTAAACTTCTAAGTAAGCTTTCAGAGACATCTTCCAGGACATGCTGCAAACCCCCTTGTGCTGTGTTTTAAAAATTCAAATAAACAGCATGAAGTTGAAATGCTCCTGTTGGTTGTATTTTCTCATATACAGAAATTCTTTTCTTCCCCCCTCCCCCAGATTGAAGGTGCATTTATTCAAGGCATGGGACTTTATACAATCGAGGAGCTGCACTATTCTCCTCAGGGTGTCCTGTATACTCGTGGCCCAAACCAGTATAAAATCCCCACCATCTGTGACATCCCCGCAGAGTTGCACATTTCTCTACTGCCTCCGTCTCAAAGCTCCAGTACCCTGTATTCATCGAAGGTAAGCTGTGCTTGATAAATAAATGAATGTTTATGTGATTTGTGGTATCTGTGCAGGGGGCTGGGGGAGGTGCCTTCATTTCTGTGTTGTTTGAGGTTTTTACCAGACTTATAGAAGAAAAGGCCCTATTAAACATTTTAATTTTAAATTAATTTAACATTGTTACAACTTTTTTTAAGTACTTCAAATTTTGGAGCCTAACATGAACTACTGTTACCATCAGGTTGTATCTGATTTTTTGTTTTGCAATAATCATCTCATACCTACGTCTGCTTTCTCCATTTGGCATCATTTCCTTAGGCAGGAATCCTAAGAATGAGAATACTAGGTTAAAATATCAAATTACTTTTTTAAAAGAAAAAAGTTACATGTATAATAATATTTTATAGGGGCACCTGGGTGGCTCAGTTGGTTGGGCATCCGACTCTTGGTTCTGACTTAGTTTATGATCTCATGGGTTGTGGGATTGAGCCCCCCATTGGGCTCCACTCCCAGTGGAGAGTCTGCTTGAGGATTCTCTCCCTCTGCCCCTCCCCCCCACACACATGTGCACACTCACTCTCTCTGTAAAATAAATAAATCTTTAGAAGTAATAACATTTCATATAGGCATCTATACACGTTTACCTGTAGATGCACATATACATATATACACATAGAGATACAAAGAGAGAGTCATAATCTGGTTGACTTGTTTCTCTTCAAAGGTCTAGGAGAGTCTGGGATATTCCTGGGATGTTCAGTGTTTTTTGCCATTCATGATGCGGTGAATGCAGCACGACAGGAGGGAGGCCTGTTTGGACCATTAAAGCTCAATAGTCCCCTGACCCCAGAGAAGATTAGACTGGCCTGTGAAGATAAGTTCACAAAAATGGTATGACCTGCTCATAAAATTCTGAATTTTTGTTCCCTGTCCTTGTAGTCAAGTTTTATTAACTCACCATGGTGTTTTTCCGTGGAAGAAAAGGTGACAGGAATCCTGAGGGCATTTGAGCATGGGAAGAGTAGACTGATCCTTAGAGTGCAGTTTTTCATCAGCCTGGTCCTGCCTGCCCTACAAAGGGGCTCAGTTCTACACCACTTGAAAATGAAGGTTCATTGCTCTTTCATCAGTTACATGTTCCTCCTTGGTTTTGTTCTCTTCCCAGGATATATTGGTCAGGAATGGGAGTTCAAGAACTGTTCCCTGAACCTAAGACACCCAGGCCAAGAATATGGGCCACACCAACAGTCTGTCCCACTCTATCCAGTCAGATATTTGAGAAAGTGCGTGTAATTCCTGATTTGAACTGTAGAGTGGGAAGGGCCCTTTCTGGCCCAAGCCCAAGAGCAGGATCCATCATGCATCAACACCCCTGCAGAGCAAACATCTCAGCTCCCCTTTGTCACATTCACTGATGAGATTTTAACTGTGGGAGAAAGTCATGCTGTTGATATTGACCCCTCTGACTATATACAAGGTATTCCTTATACTGAAGGGAGAGCCCCTCCTACTCCTCCTGTCAGTGCTGGCTCTGTGTGGTACCCCTTACAGCTTGTCCCAAGCCCCATGAATCATCTCTTCACTATGGAGGAACACAGAGACTAATTCCACTTTTTATTTGTCCCCCTTCAAGTGTGAAATGATGACTCTTGAAGCTGCCCTGCCCTGCCTCACAGTCCTGTCCCAGATTCTTCCATACTGCTCATGCTGTCATTCTGAGACCTTGCTTTGTCCTGGTTGCCCTCTGGGTGGTTTTTATCCTGTTTTGTTTTTTTTATTATGCTATTTTTCACCTGTCACAAATGTTTTCCAAGTTGCAAACATCCACATTTGTTCTTTTATTCCAGATCCCAAAAGATAAACCTGGATCCTATGTTCCTTGGAATGTACCCATATGAATCAAATACAAACTTCTGGGGAAATGGGACGACTCTTCCACCATCGCAGTCTATCTGGTCTTTATGCTTTAAGATGCTAGGTCTGAAAGATAAACGTTCATAGTTTAGAAACCATTTCACAGAGTATTGCTTTTATATCATGCTGATTTTAAATGTTCCATTTGGATTTTGATAGATATGCTTAAGCAATTTAGAAATCATACTTTAAATAGCACAAATACTAACTGGTTTCCTCTAGAAAATGGAATGGATATTCTCCATTACTTTGTTTCTTAAATCCATCCAGCTGAATGGAATAGAAGATGATGATTTGTATGTGATTCATATTTGGCTTGTATCCACCAACAGAAATTACACTGTCTAGTGAAAGGCAATTTTCTAAATAATTTTATTAGTAGTGTGAACTGTAAAGTTGTCATTTTCTCATATGTCCCCATTTGCTATCAGCCTCCTTTTATTGTCAAAATGGATCCAGGCACTGTATCCAAGCATCTGTGGGACTAAAGAAAAAAAAAATGGATAAATTAGACTTCATCAAAACTCAAAACTTTTGTGCTTCAAAAGATACTACAAGAAATTGAAAGACAAACCACAGAATAGTAGAAAATATTTGCAAATCATATATCTAATAAAGATGTATTATGCAGGATATATTTTAAAAAAGTCTTAAAGCTCAGCAGTAAAAAGATAAATAATGCAATTTAAAAATGGGCAAAGGAATTGAACAGACATTTCCACAAAGAAGATATATAAACGGCCAATAAGCACATAAAAAGACGCTTGAAGTCAATAGTCATTAAGGAAATGCAAATGAAAACCACAGCGGAAACCATTTCATTCCCGCTAGGATGGCTATAATCAAAATGATGGATAATAGTAAGTGTTGGTAAGGATGTGGAGAAATTGGAACCCTTATCCATTGCCGGGAAGAATAAAAATGGTGCAGACACTGGAAAAAAACTGGCAGTTCCTCAAAAAGTCAAACATGGACTTACCAAATGACCACTAAGTATATACCCAAGAGAATTTGAAAACATATGCACACACAGGCTTATACACAAATGTTCATAGCATTATTCTTAATAACCAAAAGTAGAAACAACCCAACTGTATCAACTGATAACAAAATACGTTACACAAAATGTGGTATATCCAGGGTGCCTGGGTGGCTCAGTTGGTTAAGCGACTGCCTTCGGCTCAGGTCATGATCCTGGAGTCCCGGGATCGAGTCCCGCATCGGGCTCTCTGCTCAGCAAGCGGTCTGCTTCTCCCTCTGACCCTCTTCCCTCTCGTGCTCTCTGTCTCTCATTCTCTCTCTCTCAAATAAATAAAATCTTTAAAAAAAAAAAAATGTGGTATATCCATACAAGGGAATATCACTCAGCTATACAAAAGAATGAAATACTGATATCTTCTACAACATGGATGAACCCTGGAAACATTGTTTAAATGAAGGTAGCCAGACACAAAAAGCGACATATTGTATTGTTCCATCTATGTGAAACATTGAGAATAAGCAGATTCATGGTAACAGAGAGTCAATTAGTGGTTGCCAGGGGCTGAGGGGAGAGGGGGAGAGGGAAATGGGGAGGTGATTGCTAATGGGCACAGGGTTTCTTTCTGGGGTGATGAAAATGTTCTGGAATTAGACAGTAGTGGTGGTTGTACAACCTGTGAATATACTAAAAACCCCTGAACTGCATGCTCTAAAAGAGTGAATTTTATGGTATGTGTATTACACCTCAATTTAAAAAAAAAAAAAGCATATGTGGAGAGAAACAGAAAATGTGGGAAAGATTGAGAAGTTGTGATAATCATAAGAAATTTATCCCAGTGGCCTTCAGTGACAAGACCTCAATGGGGGCTAAGCAGCAGGACAAAAATCACTGGAAGATTCCATTTGCATTAAAGGCAGGAAAAAAAATATCTACACTGAAGTATAAAATACTAGAGATTAATGGATGGCACCTTCTCCTGTCACACTCTCAAGAACGCTTGTCCCAAGGCCAAGTTAAGATGGCAGCCGTTCTTCATGTTTGCCTTTCATTGCCACGTGGATGTGTCTCAAAGACACCTCAAACTTAATGGGTCCCAAACAGATCTCCTTGTCAGTACAGCCATCCCCGAGATGCTAAGCCAGAAATGAGGGAGTGATCCAAGATGCTCCATTCTCTTGGTGCATATGCACTTGTTCAGGCATGAAGTCCTGTCAGTCCCACCTCAGAGAAATCTCCTACATCTGTGCCTCCCTCTCTTTATTCCCATGGCTAATGTGTTAGTTCCAAGCCACCATTATTTCTAACCTATGTGGTAGTCTCCTTATTACTGTCCTGCATTCATTCTGTTTCCCTTCCAAACCATTCTTCAGGTTAAAGTGAATGTTATATATAAGTTTAGGGACACACACACACACACACACGGTATGATTATGTTACACCCTTGCTTAAAACCCTTCAGTGGCTTCCTATTCGTTGCACCAGAATAGTATCCCAAGTCTCTAAGGTGGCATACGTTCCCTCTGTGATCTGGCCCCAGACCACCTCTCCAGTGTTGTCTCACAACCCCCATTTTTGTCATCAGAATTCCCCATTCTGTTTCTCACTCTGGAGCCTTGGTCCTCTGCCTGAGAAGTGCTGTCACTTCCATTCCTCCTTTTGTCTGCCACTATGTAGTGCTTCTTAAATTTTAAAATGCACACAAATAACTTGAAGACGTTGTTAAAATGCAATCAAGCGATCCCAGAAGCAAGAAGGTGTGATGGAAGTGGTCCATCTAGAATCAAGCACGAGCAGGATCAGAAGGAACCCAGTTATCCTCTGCTGTTACATCAGCATCCCTCCAGCAGGTCATACATATGGCCAGATGGTGGAGTGAGAGGCCCCTCATGACAAGCTGAAGCAGAAGGAGAAAGTCTGAGCTTGGTTCGCAAATGGGTTGGTTGGAAAAAAGTCCAAGCTTGGTTCACAAATCAGTATGTGCATACAAGCCAGATATGGGCAGTGACTGCACTACAGACCCACTCAGAGGTGGTGAGGGGAAATTCTCCCATGGGGCAGAGTTTTGGGTAGTGCACCTGGTTATCCACTCTGTGTAGGAAACAGAGTGGCCCAAGGTTAGGGCATGTATGTGTAGTAGCAAATGGTTTGGCCAGCTGGGCAGGACCTGGAGGGGAAGGATTGGAAGATGGGGGACAAGAGGCTCATGAATGGGTATGTGGGAATGGGCACAACGTGTCAAAATGTTCATATTGCACATTAGAAATATAAACTGTTCGCTACATAAATTTAGAAAAAACAATGTGGAAAACTTACTTTCTTCCATTCACAAAATAAGTTCATCTGACTCTTCAGAATGAGATATTATGCCAAAATAATTGGCTGGATATTATGAAGTTGCATCGAAAGCACTTGCTGCTATGTCCGCCTGAGACCATGTTGGTGAAGGCTGCGGGGAACAGACTCTCTCGTGCAGGCTTTGTTGGACTCGTACACACATTTTGGAAAGTGAGTTACTTGGGCCTCTCAGCAGTCCCACCCAGAAAGCCCAGTTCCTGTTGAAATCTCCCACCACGAAAGAGGCACTAAACAACCAAGTATGTACACAAAATGGCATTTGACATCAGCCCTCTCTGCCATTGGTCACCCCACTGCTTGACACAGTGGGCATGGGAAGAGTCATGACAGCAGGGATGGGTGCTATGCTTCCACGTAGCTGCTGCCACAGCTGAATGTGCAACCTGCCCCAACACAAGCCAGGACTAGCCCCCAAGTTAGCACCATGGTCCCAGGAGACCAGTAAGCCCCTGGGGGGCACACTGACAACTCCACGCTGCAAGGAGCAGTGATTTAACAGAGATACGCATTCTGGGTAAAGGTTTTTACCACCTAAGGGCCTGTGCAATATTACATGCACCCTC